GGCGAGACAGAGAATGCTGTCTCGCCTGGCGAGACAGTAAAGACTGTCTCGCATGCGAGACATCCCAAACTTGTGTTCTTTTGCCTTTTTGGATGATTTCCTCTTGAGCTGTATTTGGATATCTTTCAGCATTTTTTGACGCCTACAGATACCCCCTCCAAAGTATTCCAGACTCAATCTTTTATAGAGGAGTTCTGGGATGCTTTGGATAAGATAGGTCTGACTTACGATCCCTTCAATGCTTGGTTGAGTAGATCGTGTAGAGGAACCCGTAGGTGGCTTCAACTTTTGATCTCTTTGTCTCTCAATCTATTCAGTGCTTTGTAGAATAGCTAAGATTTATCCAGCATCGCGTTTATCGCTTAACTGTTGTCGAGATCTTGAATTGAAGCTGGAATTTGTGTTTGTGAAATCAGTCTCCATAAGAACACAATAGCTTAACCTCGTATACCCATTTGGGGTAGCCAGGTTATTCTTAAGAATATTTTAAGTGATATTCTCCAGAAACTTCCTGTTGAGGGTAGGGAGACAGTTTAGACTCTTGTACCTATTTGGAGTATTCAGGTTATTCTTAAGAATATTCTGAGTGATATTCTCTAGAAACTTTCTGTTGAGATTAGGGAAACAGTTTAGACTCGTGTACCTATTGGAGTATTCAAGTTATTCTTAAGAATATTCTGAGTGATATTCTTCAGAAACTTCCTGTTGAGATTAGGGAAACAGTTTAGACTCGTGTACCTATTGGAGTATTCAAGTTATTCTTAAGAATATTCTGAGTGATATTCTCCAGAAACTTCCTGTTGAGATTAGGGAAACAGTTTAGACTCGTGTACCTATTGGAGTAATATGGTCTCTTTTTTGTTGGTAGAGATGAACCCGATGATGGAGAGGAAGAATTTTATATTCTATCTCCTGGTCTCTTTTTTGTTGGTAGAGATAAGGTTTGACCAAGATGGGAATTTGAGACGATCCTAACTGTTTAAAGGTTTGATCGTTCAATTTGTGGACCTCTCGTTCATGGAACGAATCGAGAGGGGATTTTGGCTTTGGTCCTAACTGTTTAAAGGTTTGACCAAGATGGGAATTTGAGACGATCCTAACTGTTTAAAGGTTTGATCGTTCAATTTGTGGACCTCTCGTTCATGGAACGAATCGAGAGGGGATTTTGGCTTTGGTCCTAACTGTTTAAAGGTTTGACCAAGATGGGAATTTGAGACGATCCTAACTGTTTAAAGGTTTGATCGTTCAATTTGTGGACCTCTCGTTCATGGAACGAATCGAGAGGGGATTTTGGCTTTGGTCCTAACTGTTTAAAGGTTTGACCAAGATGGGAATTTGAGACGATCCTAACTGTTTAAAGGTTTGATCGTTCAATTTGTGGACCTCTCGTTCATGGAACGAATCGAGAGGGGATTTTGGCTTTGGTCCTAACTGTTTAAAGGTTTGACCAAGATGGGAATTTGAGACGATCCTAACTGTTTAAAGGTTTGATCGTTCAATTTGTGGACCTCTCGTTCATGGAACGAATCGAGAGGGGATTTTGGCTTTGGTCCTAACTGTTTAAAGGTTTGACCAAGATGGGAATTTGAGACGATCCTAACTGTTTAAAGGTTTGATCGTTCAATTTGTGGACCTCTCGTTCATGGAACGAATCGAGAGGGGATTTTGGCTTTGGTCCTAACTGTTTAAAGGTTTGACCAAGATGGGAATTTGAGACGATCCTAACTGTTTAAAGGTTTGATCGTTCAATTTGTGGACCTCTCGTTCATGGAACGAATCGAGAGGGGATTTTGGCTTTGGTCCTAACTGTTTAAAGGTTTGACCAAGATGGGAATTTGAGACGATCCTAACTGTTTAAAGGTTTGATCGTTCAATTTGTGGACCTCTCGTTCATGGAACGAATCGAGAGGGGATTTTAGCTTTGGTCCTAACTGTTTAAAGGTTTGACCAAGATGGGAATTTGAGACGATCCTAACTGTTTAAAGGTTTGATCGTTCAATTTGTGGACCTCTCGTTCATGGAACGAATCTAAAGATTGATCTAAAGATTGATCTCAAGATGGGAATTTTGAGAGGAAAGATTGATCTAAAGAGGTGATCGAATCTCATCTCAGCAAAAGAGTATTCGGAAGTCATAGTAGGAGTTTAGTGTTTATCACTTTGTTCATAATGATCGGGGTTATCCCTAAGAATATTACATTTAACATTCTTCCGGAAACTTCCCGTTACATGAATTATCCATCCCTAACTTTCTTTGCAAAACTGGGTGTAACGAGGAGTGCGTTATCCTCAGTCGCATGTTCGGGTTATCCTTAAGAATATAAGATTCTCCAGGAACTTCCCGTTATATAAATCATCCATCCCCAGCTTCCTTTGCGAAACCGGGTTTAACATTGTACTCAGTTGGATAATCGAGAAGCATATTATACTCATATGCTCTTTGGAGTGTGGGGAAACAGTTTATACTCGTACATCCACTGGAGTTGTTTGGTCGTCTTTACTCGACTTCTTTCGTCGTTATGACGCCGGAGTCAATTAGGGCTTGGATCCTGTTTTTGAGTCCAAAGCAAATCTCGGTGGGATGAAGAACCCCTCTGTGGTACGCACAATAGTTTGGATCCGTAATCCTCTTAGCTCCATCCTGATCTTTAATAGGTGGTAGCTCGATTTTATCATTAGCGAGGAGGTATTCCAATATGGTTGGAGCTTCATTATCTTCGAAAGAATATTCCTTTTGAAACCTCGGATCGAGAGTCGCATTCTCAACGATTGCAGATGTCATTGGTTGGCCTCTCTCAGCTTTCTTTCTTTTAAGAAAGTGCTCAGCTTGTTCACCCCGAGATTTTAACTCCTTCCAAGTTGTGGATGGCACGACCCCCAGAGCTTCCAGGACATCGATGGAGAGGTTATTGTGGCATGTTTGCAGGATGAACTCCTCTGTAATAGGATCTCTGCAATTCATTGCTTTGTTACGGAAACGTTTGACAAAGTTGTCAACTGACTCTCCGTCTTTTTGCTTCTCATCCAAAAGGGTTCCGATTGACACTTCGGTGTCATCATCGAAGAAATTGCTGAGGAACAAACTTTCCATGTCCTCCCAGCAATTGATGCTCCCTGGCTTGAGCCGTCGGTACCAATCGAAGGCGGGCCCACGAAGAGTGCCAACGAATGACCGGACCATTAAAGCATCGTTTTCAGAGATCATGCCCAAATGAGACTTGAAATAAATCAAGTGTTGAATAGGCGAGCTCTTCCCCTCAAACGGTGTGAAGTTAACCAGATTGAATTTGGCTGGGTATGGTATTGAATCCCATTCTCTTGGATAGGGACACGGAATACCTGTCTTTTTCCCTTCTTGAGCCGTCATCAAAGCGTTGATTTTGTTTTCAAGCTCTTTCATTTTCTCGTCCTCGTCTATGTCTTCATTCGAAGGACGTCGAGGAGAATGAGTTAGACCACCCCCTGTGAGAGGTGCTATTGAACCACCCCTAATATCGTTATTGGGAGGGTTCGTTAAACCACCCCCAGCGTTATTGCTATTAGGAGGTGTATCAGCCATAATGACTTCATCCATTTCTGGATCACTGTCATTTGTAACATTCTGAATGTGACGGCTGGATTCAACTCTTTGACTGGACTCAGGGGGTTGAGGCCGTTGAGCTAGCAATTCTCTCATTTGTTGGATAGCTAACTCCATTTCTGTCTTCACTTCAGCTCTAATTTCTTCATGTTGTTTGGCTAGAGCTTCTTGAAGTATTTGAGCGAACTGATCAGAGGTGATTGTGAGTACTTCTCTGGTTTGTCCTATGCTAGATGATGTATCATCCGAAGCGATCGCAAAACAAGTGTCCGAGAGCTCATCCTCTGATGACATCCCTTCATGCATTCTCTTGTAATCTCTGCGCCTGATGGCTCTTAATTGGAGTCGAGACATCCTTTGAGCAATTCTTGGATTGACTTTTCCTCTAGGAGAAAAGTCGGGATTTGAGTCACTTGAATGCCGTTTAGACTTTCTTTTATCAGCCACGTTGATGGTGACTTCAGGGAATTCATCATCTTGGGCAGCTGATTTTCTCTCGCGGAAATGTCTCGGCTTAGGCTTCGACGATACAGAGACTCTTCGTGGGATGGCTTCTCGTTTGAAACAATCACATCCTGATAATGCTGCTTTAACGAGTCGCGCACAGGAACACCGAGAGTTTATTTCTCGAATAACTCTCTTTCGAAAATTATTCACAACCCCAACTTGATAATACGATTCATCGGTATAATTGCCAAAAAATCGTATTGTCTGTTGGCATGACCTTCCAGGTATGACGATATCATTTGGTGAATGCGTCTTCTTCTGGGGGTGTAAAACCTTGTTGGCATTCTCAGGACAATTTATTTTTGTCTTTGAGCGATCCAAGGTTATGTCGGGAGTTGCACGTTTAAAACCACCCCCTTGCGGGTATGGAGTCTTAACGGGCTCCGAATGCTAATTTTGCATAACTCCAGACTTTGGAATCCAAACTTGGCAGAGTTTTGGTGGTTCTTTGACCACCGTTTCTTTGTTTCTTTCTCGTCTTTGTTGTAAGAGAGCACGAGCATGAGCTGCGTTTGCACGACGCTTTTGTATACGTTCTTTGAGGGTCGAACGAGCCCTTTTGACTAGTGTCCATTCCTCCGTCGTGAATTGTGCAGAAATATAAGTAGTTTGTCGTTGCGTTGAACAAACCACTTGTTGTTTCCTCGACTCTTAAGTCCGCATAATAACGAACTCCGTCGGTTTGTTCAAATGCCTTAGCTAATTGACGAGCGCGGCGTTGGCGTCGCCTCTGACGAGCCCTCTTCGTCAGTGGTGAACTTCGATCGAACGACTCCTTAATTGGGAAGGAATCATCTTGAGCAGAGCTGTTGCGAGTAAAATCCTCAGCAACAATCGGACGAGAGTCTTCATCCGTAGCATTTGATAACTTCAACGAAGATGAAATCTTCCTGCACTTGCGAGGCGCGGAAGACTTTACAGATGAGGATGACAAATACTCCTCAAACTTCGCTTCGTCGAACTCGTACTCGACCGTTGATTCAACCAGGATCTTGATGATTGGCTGCGACACGACGGTCTCGGCAGCGAGACCGTTGGCTCACACTGTGGTCGCCAGTTTGTTTTCGCCAAAAGTTGGTTTTGTTGTCGAATTCATTATATCTTCGGTCGATTACAATAAATTCAAAGAAAACAGCCTTTTTATAAGACTCTTTTACACAACAAAAAGAAAATTACAACTCTTGAGAAAATAAACGCAGGATCGTTGTTTGGATCACTGCTTTCGTGGGATCTTTGCCTGTGCCGGGAGCGCTTTGACTCGTGGACCACCAAATCACAGATTCTGATTGAACCGTGAGGGGTTTATGATTCTGACTTCGTTTATCGAAGTGAGAAATTGAAACGATATCTTATCGATGTAAGATAGTCGTTCTTCTTGAAATCAAGTCAAAGCCTGATTATCAAGGATTGGCCGTAAGATCAGCACCTCTGCTCTCTCTCTGCTCTGGATTGCTCTGGATTGCTCTGAAGTACTCACAATGATCAGCCCCCTGGAAAAATGGCCTTAGGAGGGTATTTATAACCTCCAAGAACAGTTGGCAGAAAACAGGTTCGCGAGACAGCTTTTGCTGTCTCGACGGGAGACAGTAAAGACTGTCTCGCGTGGGCGAGACAGTAAAAGTCTGTCTCGCCAGCGAGACAGTAAAGACTGTCTCGCGTGGGCGAGACAGTAAAAGTCTGTCTCGCCAGCGAGACAGTAAAGACTGTCTCGCGTGGGCGAGACAGTAAAAGTCTGTCTCGCCAGCGAGACAGTAAAGACTATCTCGCACGGCGAGACAGTCAAGTCTGTCTCACGTGCGAGACAGCCCATACTTGTGTTCTTCTGCCTTTTTGAGCTGTATTCGGATATCTCTCAGCATTTTTTACGCCTACACACTTTCAGTTAGTTTCGCATTACTTTGTGCAGAAGTGGATTCCAGTCGCCAAGGAGAAATGGATGAGCTTTACAACTTATGTTGAACCTCATGTGCAAACAGTATCTACAAAAAGTGTTGAGGTTTACGAAGTTTGCCGAAGTTCCATTACACCACATTTTATCAAAGTACAAGAACTCACAGCTCCATATGTCCAGGTAATTTTTGCAATAGATGTCTTAGAATTATTATATATTGAGGTTTATATGTGAAATGCTTAATATTTTCCTTGAAACATATATTATTCATGTACTACTTAATTTCTCAATCCCGCTGCAGGAAGCTAGGAGCTTATCTAAACCCTACGTTGAACGAATTGCCACAGTGACTAAACCCCATGTAGAAAAAGCACGTGTTGTTTTGAAGCCTTATACAAGCCGTGCAGTTTATGGTTATGGAAAATTTCTTGAATCGGCAACTACTTACCATCATCAGGTATTTTATGCTCTTCTTTTGCAGTTATTTTCAGACCACTACCAGAAGTCATGTTGAGAAAGTGTGTGATGCTATTATCTTGAACCTAATTTGTATGCCATGACTTATTGACAGTCATCAGGATGCAAGCAATTTTCAGTTTCTGCAAATTGTTGAATTTTGAAAGAGTAAATTTAAGCATCAACATGACTTGTTTCTGAAGATTTATGTTAAAGTAGAACCTTTGGGGGGGGGGGGGGGGGGCAGATGGATGATAAGCGGGAAGAAAAGACTAGGCACGATATCAAATTGAAATTAGATAGGGGAGCCTGAACAAAAATGTCTATAATTCAAAGATCCTAATGCCGATTCACTATGTGAGACGAGACACGAGTTTTGCCATATATGATACTTAAAATGCTAATACAATCAATTTTGGTGTGCAATTGATGTTATGTTAACTCAAACAAACACATAACAGAAAGTTAAGTAGATCATAAACTCAAATTAATCTTCTACCATCTTTGAAATGCTAATCTGAGGTATATTTGGGCTGTAGAGGGTTTTGGCCTTTGTAAACATTCTCTGGACTTCAAAGGATTGTTATAGCAGTAAAACGAAGAAACTATTCCCATGAATATATACCTTATTTGCCAGCGTATGCATGGTAAATGAATCTACATTTGTCCCTTGGAAACTGAAAACTTGTTAACGTGCTCTAGTTGTGCTAATTGTCATTATGTTTTGTTGCATTTGTGGGTCTTCAACCACAGTAACGTACTGTCAAGCGTATATACCGTTTCATGAGTCTAACACAGTAAATGATATGAAGCAGTCTATATAGATAGATTCGGGGACATTTGCAAGCAATTCCATTTAGAGGGATCTGAACATGTGAGATCAAGATAAAGAAATATTTAGTACTTCAACAATATGGAAAGGGATTCATAGACAGGTGAGGAGAATGGATCATCATGCAGAATGTCCATTGCAGAGGCAAAATTGATGATTTATCCACAATATATCATAAGGCAAAGTATTGGACCCTGTCGAAGACATTGTTAGACTTTTACTAAATTATATGAGAGTTTTACGGAAAAAAGCGTATTGCTAAAACATTTAACCTTATAGTAGATCAATTATGACTTATGCTAAAATATATAATGCTTGAAATCCACAGGCTGTATTGAAACCATAAAAAAATTGCCACCTCGTATGTCACATAACTTCTTTTAGGGGCTGAAAAGAAATAATATGATAAGGTTAGTATACACTTTATTAAGCTTTCTGATTTCAATATGTATTAATGGAGAATGATTCTCTTGTTTCAGTTTTAACTTTCAAGATATAGCAGATACTCTGGAGTCACCTTTTGGAAAATCAACATTTTTTTGTTAGTTTCTTTGTTTGATTTTATTGAGTTCAGAATTCTGTTATCATCTTTTTAAGTAGTTTTTCAAATTTTATTCTTTTCTAGTCATGATCAGATCAGTTGAGAATTAACCAATAGTGGTTTTGTCTCTGAACGATTCAGCCTCTTCTGATGAATGGGATTTATCAAATTGAATTTGATAGAGTCGAACAATTAGCTCATTTCTTCCCCTGTTCCTTATTATTATTGTTAGAACTAACACGATCCAATCCTTCTATCCAAAAATTCACCAGACTTGCTCAGGTTCCAACTTATCCAACTTACACAGTTCAAAATCAGATCCAACTCAATGTCTACCATTCTACATGCACACCTCAACTCGTTGATGCAGAAAAACAATAACTACATCAACAGAGAGAAGAGTTTACTTAGCTGTTTCAGTAATAAGAGAGAAATGGTAGAAAAGTAGACTTGCAGATTCCTCTTATGTTTGACACCAAATGGACTTCAACTTTGTACCTTTTTTTTGATATCATCATTGTATCCCTCGACTTTGGTTGATTTTCAATCTTATCTTTTACCGTATTGAGACCTCACTATGGATTTTTACATCTTCACATGGATATTTTCTGTTTACAACCGAATATGTCGACTTTATAAAGGTCCTGTTCGGTTCTACTCAAATCCTGTTTGATTCAAGCCGACTAGCTGGTGGTCTCATTCTTGGAGATTAGAGTAGTCGAAAATCGTTTTGTGTACTATGAACTCTAAAAAGTTGGGGAGAGCGTGGAATCACTTCTTTAGAACCTTCCTCTGTGGTTAGCGAGGTGATTTTCTCTATTATCCTTATACTTTATTTTTAGACTCGACTTCACGCCGTCGTCATGATTTATCCAATGGTATACTTTCATGTATAATGAACTTCTGCACTACGTGGAATTGATGTAGTAATTGTAGTTGCTTCTGTTTATGAGGCTGTATGAACAAAGGCGCCAGACTTTCCTAGCATGAGCAATAGAAATAACTAAGGCTATTTATAACGAAACTTGTTACTGAACTGGAACCTCAGGATAATAACGCTAGCAACAAAGTAAAACTGAGGTCCCCTTATTTTTGGATTTCCTACCCTGTTCGGTATTATATGAAGTTTAGTTTAAAATTTGCAGTGGTTATACCAAATCTTGCGGCCTCTCTATAAGACATTATCAATAACAATAACATTAAAGCCTTTTTCACAAACCTTTGGGGTTAGTTATGATGTCGATTCATTAATACTTGCAGTTAATTCTTTCTTTTCTTTTGTGGTTAAGCTTATCTTCTCTTTGTAGAAGTGTGTCTATATAAGCATTGTCTATATTTGGACTGTTATAACGGGTAGCATCTTACAAGTTTTAATTTGGTTGTGTAGGTTCAAGGTGCTGTTCATGAGAAACTTAAAAAATATGATCTGACAAAACCTCTTGCAACAAAAGAGCTTGTTTGGTTTATGGTAAGCTATTAAGAACAAAAGCTTTGTTCCTTCCAGATTTAGTTTTCCCCCTATTTTTTTGCATTATCATGGATGTCTTTGATTCTCTCACTGCAGGCCTCTGCTTTGTTGGCATTACCTGTCTTTGTCCTGTATAAAATCTTTTCGAGCATGTTCTGGTTAGTTGGGCTGTTTAACCTGCAGAGTTGGAACTTTCTTTACTTTGTTTCATATGCGTTGTTTCAGATGGTTTTCACCAATTCTTTTTCTCCCCCTGATTGCCATTTATATTTCAAACTTTGTAGCAAAAAGGCAAAGAAACCTTTGGACACCCATGCTAATCATGGACATCGGCGACATAAGCGCAGGCATGCTGACAAGTAGAGTAACACTGGATACTTGAATGTCAGTTATTTTCTGTGTTTGTAATCAAAGGTATGTTTTGTCTCAAAGTGTCTCCCAAGTAGGCAGAGGTACATGATAACGTAGTTTTCTCGTGCGTAACAAGGCAATTCTTTTTGGCAATTATTTTATGAAAAAACATAGTAAATTTAATGTAGCTTGGGGCTTAATCTAAGGCGGTGGGAAAAGGACCCTGTCACTAGTTAAATAATGCTCCTTCATTTACTAAAAGTGGTATCTATGTGAAATTGGGACCGACTTTAATTGCCATGTTTTTCTTTGAAGAATGACATATGACTTTCTTTTCAATTATATTGTGTCATTCTATCATTGTTTTGGTTATTTCACTTGTTGGTTACTTTGAAGTTGGTGAGCCCTAAAAGATACTATTCTGCACATCCAGAGTCTTTATTATCCAATGCAGCCAATTTGCTTTTATGTGCCGACTACTTTTCTGTATTCCAATTGTTATTTATATTGATTATTTTATGCAATTCCAATTATCAAATTTCCAAAGAGTAAGAAAATTTAGATTGCCTGCAGATGTCGTCTGGGAGTCTTGAAATCGTTGGAGCTTTGGATTACACTGGTTCGTAGGAATGCGTGCAATAGAGATATGGGTGCATCTACGTATACATAAATGTTGCACTATTTTTAGAAGTGGTTAGTTTTTCTTTAAGATAGTTTTAGAGTGTTTCTTGTGTGCTCATCTATGTTTTGTAGGTTATGAATTTTCACCATGTTTTTTCTTTTCTTTAAATCTTCACACATATTTTGTCATGTCGCATAAGGGCAAAATGGGGGGAAAAAGAAGGGGGAAAAAAAGATGTGGATGTTGTATTTTATTTATGAGAGAAACCCACCGTCCTGCTTTTTTATTCTTTGAGGGGGGCGAGCGTGTTATAGGGACGAGATAAGCCCACGTTAACTACGAAGTGCATCCGAAACCATTTGTATGATGTAATAGTATATTTTATATTCAGAATTGATTCTTTTGGGTTAGGGTCTGTAATGTTATGGCAGAAGCATGGTCTGTGTGCTGTGAAGGAAGACGTTTTGGTAGGGCTTTCTTTTTGCTGCTGATCTCATTTGAGTTGCTATTTCTTACCGTAATCGATGTTTAATTGAAGGTCGGAAATCTTGATTCTTTAAACGAGTAGTGATAATCGGAAATCTTGCAATTTCTTATATGCATTAAGTAGGTAATTTCAAGTTATAATTATATGCATTATAAGTTGCTTGTTAATTTCTTTCGGAATGACCGTCTCTAGTTGAGAAGAAAGTTTGCGTAGGAGATCTGACCATGACGTTAAATGCACACCTTAGGTATACTTTTTTATGTTAGTATTGACTTATGTTACGTGAGAGGACATGAAGCGTCTGTTCACTAGGCCCCACCCTTTTCGGCTTTATGTAACATTTGGACTGTATTTTAGTTGCTGTCGCCGCGAACATTCGTATAGCTTTAGTTCTTGTTTATTTTGCCCGCAATCACACGAGAACATATACAATATGATACATTGATTCAGACGCTTTTTGCCGTCTATTCTTTTGACCATTATTTGAGAAAAGCACCCACGTATTTTTTTTTTAACCGATCAGGGGACTTTACACTAGCCTTTCGTTTTTGCGAGTATAAATGACAAAAGTGTCGTCACCAAAATTGAGTGAAGTTTTCTTCTTTCATTGCTTGAACGCGGCCATATACCCGTTTCTTTTTTTTTTAATTAGCCACAAATGGCAGAGTCCTTAGGAACATAAAAATAGGATTCTAATTGTAAAGGGTCAGCCTTTTTAGTGGGGGGAGGGGGGTAGATGATTTTAGTTTCCGTTTGTGTTAATATGGACTTCAACATTTTTATGACTATACTCTGTTCTGGATCAGGATCCTCTCCTCATGCATAGTATTTCGGAATGTTTCCTAATGCATCCATCCCCGCCATCACTTCTAATGGGCCCCACATGTGTAAAATGAATAACCAAGATTGAATATTAGAAAATATTAGGACACTATGCATGAATAGAGTATCCCACATTCCCACTGTTCATCCAAAGCTTTGTAGGCCCGAGTGGGGTTATGAAATATTTATTATAATATTTAAAACCGAGCAATGCTTTTATTTTAGAAACTGAGTCGGGACAATCCGGAGTTTAAGGAAGACATCGTCTCTAATGGCTTCATATATAACGCTGCCATCTTTTTTTTTTAAACTATTAATTTTGGATGGTTATTTCCATAAATTTCTCTCTAAGGTAGTAAATATATGCTTTTAATTGTCATTATTATTATTTGAAATATTTTGGGTTGATTCATGCCCTTGTCCCCAAGATCTCCGGAACGTGAGGGGTATTTACGTAAATTCTAGAGGACAGACAGTATTAGCGATTTGCGAGAAACGACACGACACGGGCCCACGGCACGGCACGGTTCCCAGAAAAAGAACCAAGCATGATGCCAATGGGAAGTTTTGGGTCTTATGCTCCTTGGGAACATTTTAGATAACAACTTAGGACAAAATTTTAAAACAGATCTGTTTTGAAATTTATTCTCCAAAACAGACATGTTTCCAACTTAATTTTAAAAACCGATACAGTTGATCGAAACTGAGTCGGTTTTTTAAAAAAAAATTCACAAACTTCACGGGAGTTCAACTCCCGTGAAGTTTTGTTTTGAGAAAAAACATCACGGGAGTTCAACCCCCGTGAAGTTTGTAAACTTTTTTTTTAAAAACCGACCCAGTTTCAATCAATTGGATCGGTTTTTAAAATTAAGCTGGAAACATGTCTGTTTTTAGGAATAAATTTCAAAACAGACCTGTTTTGAAAATTCCTCCTAACAACTTACTTTTGTCCCCCATTGTCCTTGATTATTATACCTGGAAAAAAGAAAAAGTAAAAAGAAATACTGCATTACACCAAAAAAAACCCATTATATATATATAGTTAGGATAATAGTAAACTATTTTTTGGAAATAAAAAGTGTGAGATCTTTCTTCATGTCACCGATCAACTAGTTTATATCGTGATTGCAGGTCAAAGACTCGCTAAAATAGAAAACTATATCTGTTTCTATTTAAAATCCGTAAAAATCAAAGTTTTTGTAAATAAATGAAGACATTATTCAACTCAGTGTGGTCCCCACCTTCAAGTTCCTCTTTTAAACGAACTTGTCCAATTTCTGGTCCTGTTGTCACTATTAATCTCCCACTACTATCCGTGTTTGATCAACAGACTATAATAACTTAATTTTTATTTGCTAATCTGCCCATTTCTGGAAACCTACTACACTGAAGATACTATTTAACATGAGAGAAATGGAGAACCTTGGTACCAAATTGTTTGAAACAACTTGGTAGTGATGTAGCCTAATCTTACCCCTACATCACACCTCGAAGATAGAGCCTCAACCACCCTTCACAAACTCCAATGTAGATGTAGGGATAAGATTAGACCACATCACTACCAAGTTGCTTGGAGCAACTTGGTACCAAGTTTCTGTGAAAACGGCGAAGGAATTGTGAAAAACGTGAAGAATAACTCAAAACAGGCTCCACCACACCCTGGTGTGGTGTCTGCCATGGGTGTGGTAGAGTCTGTCCTGCACCACACCCTCTGCCACACCCAAAGATCTCGCTTTCCTCGTGTGGTTAGGAGTTCTATTTGGAATCCAATCTAGGGTTCAGTTGGGTAATTTCTTATTCTTTCAAAGTTTGGATCTTTCTCTACAATTTGGAAGTTGTGATTATGGGTGAAGTAATTGGTGAAAGCAGCAAGATGACAGGCACAGTTCAAGTGGGTTTTCAGAACACTAAGATTAGTGTTGTGAAATATGACGGCAAGATCAATTTTGGTTTGTGGATGAGCGACGTACAGGATGCGCTCAATGCTCAAAATCTGGAGGAGACCATCATGGTCGATGTGAGGCCACCTAAATATGAAGAGGCGATATGGGAAAAGATGAATCGAAATGCTTGCGGGGTGATCAGGTCCTGTTTGGAACAGGAGCTGAAATACGATGTGATTGGGGTGACGTCTGCGATGAAGATGTGGGAAATTCTCAACAATAAGTACCTTACGAAGAGTGTTGAGAACCGGTTGCACTTGCTGCGAAGGTTATTCAGATTCCAGATGTCCAGAGGTACCTCGCTTGCGGCTCATGTGAACAACTACACTAAGTTGTTGTCGGACTTGGCGAACGTGGATGAGAAGATCACAGATGAGTACAAGGCTATTATTCTTTTGGGCTCCTTACCGGATGAGGAGTATGATACCTTCGTGCTTACGTTGCTGAACGGGAGATCTTCTATCACTTATAGTGAAGTGACTAACGCATTGACGAACTATGATTTGAGGAGGAAGGATAAGGAGACTTCCCGCGCTAGTACTTCAGGAGAGGCCTTGTCGGCGAGAGGTAGAAGCTCATATCAGAAAGGTGGAAACAGAGGGAGGTCAAAGTCAAGAGGTCGTCACCAGCTTGGAAAGAATCAATGTGCATTCTGCAAGGAGCAGGGACATTGGAAAAGAGATTGCCCGAAAGTCAAAGAAAAGGAGAATAGCAAGAATAAGGGCCCGAAGGCCAATGAGGTGAATGTTGCGAAAGGCGATGATTCCGATGATTCGAGCTTTTCTCTTTTGATTACTCCGGAGGTGAACCATTTGGATGCATCGGAGTGGATGCTTGATTCTGGCGCTACTTATCATGTGACTCCTAGGCGAGATTGGTTCTCATCATTTGAGAGACTCGATGGGGGTGTTGTGGTCATGGGAAATGATCAATCCTGTGGCGTTCGTGGGATAGGTACTGTGAGGATTCGGATGCACGATGGAGTAGTCCGTGAGCTGAAGGAGGTGAGATTCGTTCCTCAACTTAAGAAGAATCTTATCTCAGTGGGGGCTTTGGAGGCGAAGGGATTCAGGGTGACCTTTGAGGATGCTGTAGCAAAGGTTACTAAGGGATCTTTGGTGGTGATGAAGGGAGTCCGAAATCATAATTTATATTATCTGAAGGGGAGCACCGAGATTGGCCAGGTTGCTTCGGCGATTTCAGAGGCGGACATGAGCAGACTTTGGCACTACAGGCTAGGGCATACAGGTGAAAAGTCACTGCAGGCATTGTGCAAGCAGGGGCTTTTGAAGGGAGCCAAGAGTGGTAAAGTAGAATTCTGTGAGCACTGTGTACTTGGCAAGAAGACGAAGGTGAAGTTCGGGACGGCCATTCATAGGACGAGGGGCATCTTGGACTACGTGCACACAGATGTTTGGGGTCCCACTAAGACGGCATCACTTGGTGGTCGACATTGGTTCGTCACGTTCGTTGATGACTATTCTAGGCGATGTTGGGTGTACACCATGAAGCATAAGAGTGAAGTCCTAGATTTGTTTGTGGAGTGGAAGAAGAGATTGGAACTGCAGACTGGGAGAAAGATCAAGACGTTGCGATCCGACAACGGCGGCGAGTATACCTCAGACCCCTTTCTGCAGCTATGTCGAGACGAGGGCATAGAGAGGCACTTCACAGTTAGTCATACACCGCAGCAGAATGGGGTGGCGGAGAGATTGAATCGGTCTTTGCTGGAGAAGATTCGATGTTTATTGGCGCATAGTGGTTTGGAGAAGATCTTTTGGGCTGAGGCACTTTCTTATGCGAGCCACCTCATTAACAGGCTGCCTTCATCTGCGATTGAGGGGAAGACCCCTATGGAGATGTGGTCGGGAGAGACAGCACATGACTATGACCAGCTTAAGGTATTTGGTTGCCCTGCATATTATCATGTTAGAACTGATAAGTTGGAACCTCGAGCTAGGAAGGCCATATTTGTAGGATTCAAGCGTGGTGTCAAGGGATACAAGCTTTGGGATCCAGTTGATAAGAAGATTGTGCTGAGTAGGGACGTCACATTCGATGAGGCTTCTATCTTGAAGCTTCCCAGCTCTCATCAGGTGGAGAGCAACCCGACAGAGGAGATTTCGCAGGTGGTGGAGATTGATGCAGCTCCACAGAGTCCAGATAGTGCAGTATCCATGAGAGTGCCGACTGAGGTGACGCCAGGCGAGCACGACGGTGATGCGGAGGATACGGGTACTCATGAGCAGGATCAGGGACCGACGGCTCAGGTTCAGGATTCTATTGCGGCACGGAGACAGAGGAGAGACATACGGGTGCCAGCACGGTATGCCGACACAGTTGCATATGCACTTCCGGTGGAGAGTATCGATGAGATGGTGCCTACTACATTCAGAGAGGCCGAGCAGAGTTCGGAGGCTGATTCGTGGCAGGTGGCTATGCAGGAGGAGATGGAGTCTCTTCACAAGAACGATACATGGGAGCTTGTAGAGCTTCCAAAGGGGCGGAAGGCGATTGGGTGCAAGTGGGTGTACACGAAGAAGGAGGGCATTGAGGGCACTCCAGTGAGGTTCAAGGCTAGGTTGGTTGCGAAGGGCTATGCACAGGAGGAAGGTATTGATTACAATGAGGTTTTCTCTCCGGTGGTGAAGCATTCGTCGATTCGGATTTTGCTAGCTTTGGTGGCACAGTATGGATTGGAGTTAGATCAGTTGGATGTGAAGACAGCATTTCTTCATGGTGATCTTGATGAAGAAATATATATGACTCAGCCATTGGGATTCCGAGCTGCAGGGAAAGATAAGTTGGTTTGCAGGCTAAAGAAATCGCTATACGGTTTGAAGCAGTCTCCTCGACAGTGGTATAGGCGATTTGATGGTTTTATGCTTGGTCATTCGTACACTCGGAGCCAGTTTGATCCTTGCGTGTATTTTCGCAAGTTGAGAGGAGGTGCGTACATTTATTTGTTGCTTTATGTCGATGACATGTTGGTTGCTTCTAGTTCCAGGTCAGCTATAGATGAGTTGAAAGTTCAGCTTTCGAATGAGTTTGAGATGAAGGACTTGGGCGAGGCGAAGCGCATTTTAGGGATGGAGATCGGCAGAGATAAGAAGAAGGGCAGGATTTGTTTGACACAGGTGGCTTATTTGAAGAAGGTTCTACAGCGATTCCATGTTAGCATGGATACGAAGCCAGTTTGTGTACCGTTGGGAGCCCATTTGAAGCTTTCAGCTGGCCTTTCACCGAAGTCAGTTGAAGACCGTGAGTTGATGACGAAGACTCCATATGCGAGCGCAGTTGGGAGCTTGATGTACGCGATGGTATGTACGAGGCCGGATTTGTCACAGGCGGTGAGCATGGTGTCGAGATACATGCACGATCCAGGAGTGGGTCATTGGGACGCCGTGAGATGGATTTTGAGGTACATTAGAGGTACGCTCAATGTTGGTTTGGTTTATGAGCGGGACACTACAGGTGGGCAGCTATGCATTGGCTATGTTGATTCGGATTATGCCGGGGATTTGGATAAGCGCCGGTCTACTACGGGGTATGTGTTCACTTTGACCCGTGCGCCGGTGTGTTGGAGATGCACCTTACAGTCGACGGTGGCTTTGTCTACGACGGAGGCAGAGTATATGGCAGTTACGGAGGCTGTGAAGGAGGCTATTTGGCTTCGAGGACTTTTGGAAGAACTTGGTATATCGCAGCGATCCGTCACTATTCATTGCGATAGCATGAGTGCTATATATTTGGCGAAGAATCAGGTTTTTCATGCGAGGACGAAGCACATTGACGTTCGTTATCACTTCGTTCGGGATGTTCTTGAAGATGGCGATGTGGAAATTGTGAAAGTCCACACGAAGGATAATCCGGCAGATATGCTCACTAAGGTGGTTCCGAGCAACAAGTTTGATCATTGTCGAAACTTGTTGCACATTCGTAATTGTTGAGGCCGTTGGCGGCCATTTGGATGAACTACGGGCGGCTTGATCCCTTGGGAGAGGGGGTACGTAGGCAACCACATTGGTGTAGCCGAGTTTGGAGAGACGACACATTGGTGCTCATGTTTGTGTCGGCTCATTGTTGGGAACACTTTGCCGAGGTGGAGAATTGTGAAAACGGCGAAGGAATTGTGAAAAACGTGAAGAATAACTCAAAACAGGCTCCACCACACCCTGGTGTGGTGTCTGCCATGGGTGTGGTAGAGTCTGTCCTGCACCACACCCTCTGCCACACCCACGGTGCAGGGTGTGGCAGAATCTGTCCTGCACCACTCCTGCACCACACCCTCTGCCACACCCATGGTGCAGGGTGTGGCAGACTCGTTTTTAGAATCCTTATTTGTTGAGGAATCCTCCTTTGTTTGGGATTGTGTTTTATTATAAATAGGACCACGTTTTTTAGGGTTTCTTAAGGAGAGAAAAGAAGAGATTTAGCATTGTTTTGAGCACTTTGAGAGGGAGATATTGTGAGGGAGTTGAGAGCTTTGGTTAGGGTTATATTTGAGTGATTTTGTGAGTTGTAACCCGTTGTATTTCTCCTCCATATAGTGAAATCTCCCCATCCTCTCCCCGTGGACGTAGGCAATTGCCGAACCACGTATATCCTTGTGTTTGGTTTGATTTGTCGTAATTGGCTTGGTTTGTGCAAGTGTTTGGCTTTCTTCTACTCGTGATCACAGGTTCGTTGTGAGTTCGTGCAAGGCTTCCGCAAAGGCGCGCGACAGTTTCTCCATTTTTCTCATTTAACATTAACCTAGTGCGAAACTACGCCTTTGCCATCTTTATCCCTTATTAATATGGAGTAAGTGCAAATAATTATAATTTTAAATAATAATAATAATAATAATAATAATAATAAACCATAGAGAAAATGAAAAAAAAAAATTAAAGAAATAGTGGAGGGCCGGCTGTAATTTATTGATTGGAGAGAAGTGGAAACGACTCATTCGCCCGCGAGAGAGGGGGGATGAGAGAGCCGATGAAACCGCGAAATTAATTAATAAATAAAAAAATGCAGTAACTCTCCCTATTTGCATTTTCTAAAATCTAAAATATAAATAAATTAATATTAGTTTTAAGTTCTTATGAAACTCTCCTATTTTTGCATCTTGAGTTTTAGTTTAGGATATTTAATTCCCTTTATTTATTTATACATATATATATTTATGTTTTGCCTTTTTCTCTGTGAGATCCAGAGTTCTCCGCTTTCTAATTTTTTTTTTCTTTTTTGCCTTTTCTTTTCCCTCCCCTTTCTCTTTCTTCATCGTACTCTCTCTCTCTCTCTCTCTCAGATCTCGTGATCCTGGCGATCATCTCCTCTCAAAAGGTAAAAATCTTACATTTTGAAGTTGTTGATGTTGATGCACTTGATTCTTCACTTGTTACTTTCATTGTATCTTGGTGGTAACTTTTTCTCAGCGATAGGCGGCATTGTGGCTTGCAGTGATTTAGGCGTTTTTTTTTGTGATTTTGTGATGAGAATTCTTGGAGCATTTCGCCTTTGATGATGATTCGGATTCGCCAGTTGTTGAGGAGCTGAATCTATTTTTTTTAAACTTTTCTTTGACTTTTTGTATTTTTTTTTTGATTTTTTTTTTTTTTTCTTGTTATATTTTTTGGCCGTTGAAGGTGGCGAAGAGGACGTTTTCCATATTTATGATTTTCTTGTTGAATTTTTAAATTGGATCCTTATTGTTGGGGATTTTTTTAAAAAAAATTGAGACGCTTGGATTACAATAACGATGATAAACTTGAATCCCGTCTGCACTTTAGTTTTCCAGCTATTTTTATTATTTTTAGATTTGTATGAGTTCTTAATAATTCCATGCCTTTCTTTTTCAACAATGGGTGGTTGGATTCAATTCCCATCGCAGGACTAATTGAACCCAAATTTGAAATTTGGACTTTCTTTTCCCCTTAACATTCGCATCTCTCCTCCATCGGTCGATCATTCTAATTGTTATTTTGTTATTTTTTTTTAATTGATTGATCCCCATCTTGTTTGTTTGCTGTGTGTTGGGAGTGTTGATTTTATTTTTGGAGGCAAGAGACTTTGATTTGTTCTGTGTTTTTGGACCCTTGTCAATTGCTTATTATTATTATTATTATATTTTTTTACTCCAAGAATTTTTTTTTTCTTATTTAGCTGTTTCCATTATGCAACATTGTGCGCAATGAGATTAAGAAGGATGACTGTTGGTTAATTTGTTTGTATGTTTGTCAAGGTTCTGGTTTGAAATTGTTTGCCTTGTAGGGCTGGTTGCTGGAGAACTTACCTATGAATTTGACTTTGTTTTAAAGAAGAAGGATATATTGGCTTACTTTGGTTTCTTTTTGAAATTTGGTGAGGATGCACTTTATGATGTTATGCTAGCAATTAGTAGCCTCAATTACTTAAGCACGTCTCTGAAGAAGGTCCGAACAGGTGAAGAATAGTGAAAAGAAATATCATTTCTTTTGCATTTTCTTATACTTTTGCTCCTGCCACTGACTTTCGACCTTTGGGCTTCGTTGCAACTTCATTTATCCATATCTATTGTGTGATATTAGATCCTTCATGGATTCATTATATTTGCATAATTTCTCCTTTGTATTAACGAGACAAGGGCTATGCCCACTATTATTCTCCCAAAAGTAAAGATAAAACTGTTCCTTCTTGTTTTGGCAAGTGTTTACTACTCGATTATTCTATTCAGACTTCCCTGAAGTTGGAAAATACTGAGAATTCAATGTGAAACTGCAACAGACATAGTGAGATATCGAAATAAGCGCCTGATTCCTGGCCTTTTTTCCACACATCATTAATATCTTTCTTTTTTGTTGTTGCAGTGATATTTGTGTATCTAAAGGATACTTGTCGTTCTTGGTGACTGGTAAAATCTCCTAACGGTTGATGCTGTTGACAAAAAAGGGGGCTGATGGTAGTACTACTATAATGTGGTTTCATTAATGAAGACATCCCAGGCGTGGCAGCTAGGCAGTAGGAATTTGTCAGGCATGCCACCGCCGCTGCGCCACAGAGGCGCTAACAGAAGGCCTATATGGATAATCGTCTTGGTAGTTTTGGTGTGTATCTCCCTGATGGCAGCTTACATCTATCCCCCTGGTCACAATACATCTTGCTACTTCTTTTCTTCTAGTGTGTGCACCCCTTTTAAGGATTGGCTTCCTCCTCTTGCTGCAAGACTTCTTACTGATGAAGAGCTTGCTTCTCGAGTTGTCATCAGGGACATTCTCACGATGCCATATGTACCTCCAAAGATCGCTAAAATCGCTTTTCTGTTCTTGACACCTGGAACATTGCCCTTTGAAAATCTCTGGGAGCAATTTTTTCAGGTAATATCACTTAACCTCACTGTTCTTCTATTTGTTATATTATATAGATGGGAATGCGGGGAAGCAAAAATTTTGCAGGCAGTGTCCTGTTTCAGTTAGTTCTGTGGAAAAAGGGGAGGAAACATCTCTTTTCCATTTAAAAGGGGAGGAAACATCTCTTTTCCATTTTTACAGAGCAATAGAATGACATGAATCCCTAGTTACACGTTAAAGTCTGCACAAATATCAAAAATTTTTGTGGGTTTTGAGAACTTCTAGTGGCCCTTTTATGCTCCGAGAGGCTGATAAATTTTAAAATTTTCTAAATAAAAAGGGAGAAACAATGCATGTATGGAATATGAATGACTATGTTTTATGTGTAAGAATGCAATAAAATACACGTACACATACAAAAGTTTTTAACATCTTGGATCATGGATATGGTAATAAATAAATTATGTGTGAAAATTAATGAATTTCAGTTTGGACAGTGTGAACAATTTTTGAAGTCAAGCAAGTGACAGTTTATATAAATGCTTCTACAAGTCAAATGAAGCCTAGAATTCATGTATTTGATGTCTAACTATTTCGACCCAAATACATCTCTAGTAAATATTTGACATGTTCTTTTGATAACAACACGTATCTGGTATGTTTGTGAATATGTTATATATAAGTATGGGAAAGATCCATCAAGTATCTGAGTATTCATGTATGAGATACTTTTCAGGTATAGATAAATCTTCATTGTTGATGTATGTAGTTATAGATGAAAGAGATTGTTGTAGATACAGAAATAGATAGAATAACAAAAATATAGCTTTTACTGGGGGATGAACATTGCTGGAGGCAAGAGTACGTTATTTGTTGCTTTAAAAGTAGATTTCTACTTAAAGAACTTAACTGAGAAAAGTGGATACATTTAATTGACTGCAAAGGTTTTGGGTGGATTCTTTTTTGTTGTTTGTTTGTGGTAGTGTTGTTTCATTCTTATGCCTGTATGAATTCTCCCTAGTGACCAATGAAACCTTGAACCTTGGATCTGTCAATCCTTGAGAGTTCTTTTTGAAACTCCTAATTCCTCTCGAGCTCCTTTTGACAACGACGTGCATGGAATTCATTGTTTCTTATTAAATTTCCATATATTATTGAAGTCTCCATGTAGACTAGCCATGTTTATTACTAACCGGCCATATATCATTTAAGCTTTCATGCATAGACGCAGGCATATGTGCATATTGATCCTCTGCTTTGAATTAGATCACTGCTAGACATATGTTTTAACTTGTATTTTTAGTGACTAACACCCAATTGGAGGCTCACATGCTGGTCCATGTTTGCTATATACGTACTGAGTTATCTAAACATCCAACTAAGTACAATTAGAAATTACAAAATTTCTTAATACCATTTCTTTATCTTGGAAAATCAATTCTTATAGGATTCCATGAATTATTATATTTTACATTCCTTAAGTATATAATTGCAGGGCAATGAGGGCAGATACTCCATTTATGTACATGCATCACGGGAAAAACCAGTGCATGTGAGTCGCTTATTTGTGGGTCGAGATATTCACAGTGAGAAGGTACTTAACCCTTCATTTACTCAACTTAGTTTCAGATTTTTTTCTTTCTTTCTGAAGAATTGTTTTCTATAGCAATGTAAGATATGCTTAATCACATAGGTGAAAGTTTGTGCATGCTTGCATATCCGCTGTTGTATTTTTCTTTGGCCACGCATAAAATTCAGTTACTTGTGTATCATTATATGGTCTCTTTGGTTTAAAAAAACTTAAAAAAAAATCCTGCAGTACTTTGTTTTGCCTGTTTAAGTGTAAACTTATGAACAGAGTTACTAAATACTTCCTAACGAAGGTGCAAATGGGAATTTTGCGTACATGCTCTCTTTTTTGCGTCCTGTGTGCTGTGCATCAGAACCAGAAACAAAAGATTAGAGCTTCATCTGAAGAGAAGTGCCTTGATTCCACGTCGACCTTTTTCCTATTATTATTATTGTTGCAATTTGTCACACTACTTTAACTCACAATTCTCTAGATCATGCAAAAATCTAAACCATGGATCAATTTTGCATATCTTATTCAAGTATAAGTTATGTTGTTACTGAAATTACTTTATTTGTTTTTCTATAATGTGTGTTTTTGCTTGAAATCTTTAAGCTATAGAGCCTACCGTTAGAGGCTAGGGCTGGAAACAAACCGAGTTTGAATTGAATACCGCAATATTCGTATTCGTATTCAGTTCATATTCGAATTCAAAACGAATAGGAAATGTCTATTCAAATTCGATTCAATTAGTATTCGAAAATTTGACAACTATTTGTGAATATTCGTACAGTTTTATGTAGCATTTTGTGAATTATTCTGTTCATATTTGGTAGATATTCAGTAAATATTTGATAAGTATTCGTTATCCTATCCTATTCTTATAATCAAGCCAAACATGATACAACCAATGAATATGCAACCTAGTGACAAATGTAAAATTCACAAATCGGAAATCACTTATATGAGGCTATATGTGTAAAAAACTTTTGGTATGCATAGAAAATATGATAACTAAAATTTATAGGTCTAACCTGTGGTATATAAATGAATAGTTTATTAAACAAACGAATCGAATATACCTATGGTTAAATTTTATTCATTTATGAACTGAATATTAAAAACTATTCATTTATTGTTAAATGAACCATCAAATCAAATATGACCTGATACTTAAGGGAAAATATACTGAACTATTTGGTAAATATGCGGTTCCTTTCCAACCCTTGGAGGCTATCATACAGACCAGATTGGTCATTTCAGTAGTCTGCTATACTAAAGGTGTTCTGAATAAGGGAGCAGAGTCTTTTGGACATTTTCAATAGTTTTGGATTGAACCAAAAATATTCACTTTGAAGCAAATATTTGAACAAAACTGCGTGATACCTGCAGGTGGTCTGGGGGAAAATTTCTATGGTTGAAGCAGAGAAGAGACTCTTGGCAAATGCATTGATAGACAGTGACAATCAGCAGTTTGTCTTGCTTTCTGATAGGTGATTGCATTGAACAACCAGAGTGAAATTTTAATTGCTCCCTACTAGTTTAATACACATGTTTATTATTAACTTTCTGCATTACAGCTGTGTACCATTGCATAATTTTGACTATATATATAGCTATCTGATGGAAACAAATGTCAGCTTTATCGATTGGTAAGCTTCATTTTCCCGCATAGAATTTTTGTTTATTTTGTTTCTTGTACTTTGATGCTAACTGGTGTGCTCCTATTTGCTGAAGCCTCTAATGTAAACAGAAACCACAATCATTCAATCTACTATTTCCCTTGCAATATTTTTCTTGATTGAGCAAGTCATTGATTTGTAAATTTTCTTGCTATTTTGACTTTATTGGCAGTTTCAAGGATCCTGGTCCACATGGAACAGGCAGGTTTTCTCCACACATGTTGCCTGAGGTTCCAGAAGAGAAGTTTAGGAAGGGCTCACAGGTATAGTTTTTATATGTTCAAATTATTGGAATGAGAATCAGGTGAACCACAACTGAACCTAGAACTGTGAGCTTGACCTGAACTTTAGGGTTCAGGTTTTGTGATGAATTCGGTCTAATTCATGTTTAGTAATTCAGGTTTTAAGCAGTTTGACCAAAATCGACGTGTTTAATGTAATAGATAATAAATAAGAAAAGAAATACGATTCTCAATGCCTGTAGTACAAGTTCCTGGTGGACTACTGTAACAGCAAGATCACTGGAAACAAGCCTTTATAACAAACTTTAGGAAGGTTCCTAGTTGACTGACTTTATGTATACAGGGTTACCCAACTGAATTTGATCTAAACATCCATCATTGCCTCCAACGAGTGAGAATAATATCGTGAACCATAATCAAAACGTGGAAAAGTTATGGCATGATAATTTCCCTTATCATTTGGCCTGCCTGACATTAAGTGTACAGATGTATGTGACATAAACTTAGCTTAGAATTTCATCCCCTTTCTCTTAGCAGGTATCACCTTGAGTTTCCCGTGATAATGACTCAGGGCACCTTTAAAATTTCCTGACTGTTCTCGATTCCTTTAACTAATTTGCGAATGATTCTTCCCCATGAATAAATGTGGTGACATCTTACTTCTCTTATTGATCACTAATACATAATGGCACCTGATTTCTCTTTCAACTTGCTCTTTTATGCCTTTCTCCAGAAAGCTTAAGCAAATTGCATATAACACCATGCAAGCCTTATTGAGACTTTGATTTTTCTCAGGATTCATTTCAATTCCATAAGATTGAGACTAAGAAAAGTAGATGAACTGTGCAGGTCCATCTGCATGTCATGTATGTGTGTGTAGTTTATTTTTGATGTTCCTTATGTTCTATGCGCCTGTTGCTAGTGTGGATGACATTGACAACACAGTAAATGATTCAAAACAATTAAGGAGGGAGGGACATTTTGGAGGATAGTTGGGTTAATTACTAGTTTGAAGTTTTGAACTCATGTTTTGCTTTATTAAAAATTTAGTTTGGTTCTACCTTTATCCATAGTCAGTTTGTTATAAAATAGGGCATTAGGAACTTAATATTTTTGCTATTGTAATAGGGGTTCTATCAGTCTATTCTGAGAATCAAACAAATAATACAAGGTAAAAAAAATCAAAAGTTTATATACCGAAGAAGATGAAACAGATGAGGTGTAGGTGGAAGCAAGCATTGTAAATTTGTAATAACCTAATAATTTAGAAATGACTATATTACAATCACTTGGTGCTCTATGTAAAACAGATGCCTGATAGATAGTATTGCATACAAATTCTTGGAAGATTTTCCTATAACCATGTTTCTGAATTATGTTGCCTTTTGAATTGTATGGAGTTCCTTTTACCCCACTTATGGTACATGTTCCAATTTATATTTGAAGCTTGTACCAATATGTTTATGCGCGTATACAAAACATTTGTGGATTTGAGAAGGATTTAGAGCTGAATCTTCCTCTTTAAAATTCAATATTGGATATCCAAATTGCACATACACGCTGTTTTCTTAATCCAAATTACAAATTTGATATCAATTTTAGAAATCCAAATAGAATATGAATGATCTTCATACTAATTCTCATTCATATTGCAGTGGTTCACAATCAAGCGACAGCATGCTTTGTTAATTTTAGCAGATAGTCTTTACTACAAGAAATTCAAGCTCTATTGCAGGGTAAATTCATGCCTATATATTATCCTTTTATTTGTTTTGTAAGTTTTCTAAAGAAGGATGAACTATACTCACAACATCGAAACCATACCTGAACATTTAAAAGTCTGGAAAACTTATCTTAATACTTCTAGTGTAAAAAATCCAGGAGCTTTATTTTATAGAAATTGGCCTGATATTAGCACCTTTGTCTTCCGCAGCCAGGTATGGAAGGACATCGCAATTGTTATGCTGATGAACATTACTTGCCAACCTTATTTCATGTAAGTATACTAGAGAACCCTCTTCCCAGGCTTATTTTAAAATTTATATATTCTGCATTTCAAGTTTCATTTCTTATCACTTGAACCATGCTTAACTTTCAGATGGTTGATCCTACTGGCATTGCAAATTGGTCAGTGACATACGTAGATTGGTCTGAAGGGAAGTGGCATCCAAGATCATATCGGGCAAAAGATGTCACTTATGAACTTTGGAAGAATATAACAGTATGCGTTCTTTTTTTCTTATTTTATCTCATCTGATACAAATTTGGTGTTTTGTGAGATTTACTTAGGTCATTCTTTTGATCTTGGTGTCATTGGCAGTCCATTGATGAGAGTTTACATGTCACAAGTGATGAAAAGGTGACCCTTGCAACTTCGGACTTGTAGTTTTTTTTCACTAGTCCTTTTATATTGATTGGTGCCTCATCAGAGGCTTGCAGTTTAGTCATGTTTGTCTACCTCATGCGCTCATCATTTAGGATAAGATGCAACCTGATGAATTTGATTTCATCAGCATTTTTTAACTGTTGAGAAAGATGTTTCACTTTAAAATACTATTTCAGTCTTAAGTCGTACCTGGAGACTGTTACAAATGTAAAAGCAGATATTTTATTTTTGTTGAACTACTAAATGGGAAAAAACCTTTTGGGCATTGTAATTTTATATGAAAATTCACCGTGCAGTATGACCTTCGCCACATATTATTATTTCTCTATTTCATTATATCCTAGGATTCTCTTGCACTGCAGCAGCACACGTATGCAAAGCAGAAAAGTTAGAATCGAGAAAGTAGCTGCATTTCTGAAATCATCTTACCTAAGAGTTTTTTCCCCCTTTCTTTGCTATGCATGACATCAAATTTCACCACTTATAGTTCTAGTATTTTGAAGTTTAAGGTGTTCAACTTATTTGAAATCTAGGTTCTGAATGCCTGGGCTCAGGAACCAATTTCTTCTGCTATGTTACATAAGTGTAGTTCTTGCTGGCATAGCAGAAAACATCCTAAATTCTACCAATATTAGTCATAGACGCTTGACCTTTGGTTCAGCCAGGAGATGTTAGAGCGTAGCGTACTACATTATTAGATGATCCGTTATCATGAGGTTGGTTCCAACAATTTTCGTGGGTCTTTGTCATGAGTAGTTCTAATATAATGTATTCACGAGATATTAGCTTACAATTTATTCTCTCACCCTACGTTTCTTCAAACAATTACAGAGGGTATTTCATAGTCTTACACTTGAGACATATCATTCACGATATATTGATATTCAGTATTTTGAAGATTTTTTCCTAGTTATCTCTAGTTTCAGATAGCATTTATCCATTTTGACTATGGCGGTTTGAGTTATCTCCATCAAAACGATTGGAAAAAGAACAGATGTTTATTATCTCAATGGGCGCTTGATATCAGAATGTAATTATGCAAATACTATTTGATCATGTACATGGAGGGAGTATAACAGTCGAATCAGTCTAAAATAAAATTGCAAACAGCACACAAACACATACTAACCAGTGTGTTCTTCTTTGCTGCAGAAAGTGGTTATGCAGAAACCTTGTTTGTGGAATGGGATGAGGAGACCATGTTATTTGTTTGCCAGGAAATTCTACCCTGAGACGCTGCATAATATGATGCATTTGTTTTCTAACGTACATCAATACGAGGAGGGATCCAAGGCATAATTCTTTGGTTTCGATTCTTTTGTTATAAAGGCAAATCCTGTAAAAAGCACGAAAACCACAAGAGAATAGGTCCTGTTTTGCCATCCTGATTCTGTATAGAAAGAGAGGAGATTGGATGGAGCTATTCGAGATTACTCAAGTACTGACCTGAGTAGAGGGATGAGGTGGCTGCCTCCTTTAGATTTCACGGCGAATTCATTAATCTCCACCTTCATTGGGGGTATTCTTTTTTGCTTAAGATTGTTTCAGATTACCTTTTCTTTTTCCGGGATTTTCCTTTATTACCCAGCCCTTTTGAGAACACACAAGATTTTGACCGCTCTACCTGTAACTCACTGAGGCTAGTGAAAATTTATAAATAATTTTTCTTTTTTTTTTTCCTTTTCTTATGGTAAGGATACATCTCACCGTGATTCTTCTTCCTATGTTACCCTCATTGCTTGTACTTTGTGGGGATGATCAAGTTGTGGGAATTGATTTTGAAGATGTATCTGCTATGTCTTGAGCTTGTGCTGGGAGTCTCCTAATTTTTTACCGACCGTTCTTTGATTTATGAAAACTTTTAGTATGGTCACAAGTATGGTGAAGTGAGCTTTCTACTGAGACGGCGTAATCAAACAATGTAAATTCTGATTATGGTCACCAGTATCGACATTGTTGTAGATCCGAATATTTATCAGGATGCAGAATGAAGCATATTTCTGGTCTCATTAATGATGACCAGCTCATCATGCAATGAGAGAGACGCGCCTCACCTGTCCATCTAAAACCAGCAGCTAATAAATCCTTCTTTCCCTCTTCTACTTTCTGAGGCTCAAAATCACCAGCAGCAGGCGTTCTCTCCTCTCCTCTCTCTCTCTCTCTCTCCTCTCTCTCTCTCTCTCTCCCCTCGTTTCTTGAGGTTTTTTGGGCGATGGCTTCCTCCTCATCATCTCTTCTACTCCCTCTCAACAAGCCCTGGACGGATCAACGGTCCCCACCCCTCCGTCCCATCTAACCCGGCGCAGAGAAGCACCCGGGCCGCTCACGCGATCCACCGTCCGGCCTCCCCCTCGCCGCCACCGGCGCCGGCCCTCTCCAAGGTCCCCCCCCCTCAACTACCTCCTTCTTCGCCCTAAAAGGCGCTTAGATATACCAGTTAATTAAGTGCATCTAATCTAATTAGTTAATTGATTAAGCGTTAGTTATTTAATTAGGTTAAGGGAACTGACCGAGGAGTTCTGCTTCCAAAGGAAGGCCACAGGGAGGTTGCCGACGCTGCTCAACAGCTCTCTGTTTACTGCGTCGATCAGCCCGTCAAGTGCCCCCTCATCTTCGGAGGTAAATTAAGACTCGATCGATTTCATTTCTTCACTCGTTCCGATCCGTCGCAAAGTTACCGTTTTTGGTATCGGGCGGGTTTTTTTTTTTTGAACCGATCAGCTAACTGTGATGGTGGCGTGCGTACTCTTGCTGCGGTGGGTGGGTCAGAGTGGGACGTGGAGTATTGCTCAAACCCGACATCCCCCGGAGGTGGTTATCGCAGCGCGGCGGGCCGCCTTGTGTTCAGAACGAATGAAATGGTGCAGGTGGTCGAAGCCCCGGATGCTATCAGGAACAGGGTCTCTTTCTCTGTTTTTGGATTCCTCAACGGCGAAGTTTCTTTGAAAGGTAGCCAACAAACAGCAGCAACACATTTTCCTTTGGAAAATGATTGGGGCACACCCCCAACCACATCCCAAACCACACCCCTCTCACATGCTACAGTGCATTGGGTCTCACATGGAATTTTAAAATTATGCTACAGTGCACCAGGTTTCACATGAGATTTTAAAATTTTAAAATACATATGGAGCCGGTGTACAGTAGCATATGAGAGAGGAGGTGTGGTTTAAGATATGGTTGGGGTGTGCCACTCGTGCCACCCCTTTCCTTTTACCTTACCTTACTTTCAAAAGGTAATTGCTGGAAAGTACAAATTTTCACCTTAAAATGTCTGCACCATTCTTGACTTCATTTTTGGTCTGAAAAGATCTTGGATTATTCTATCGATCCCGAGTTTAAAAAAAAAAGGTTAAATACTTTATAGCCTGAATCACCCTTGACACCGCGCTCCACTACGCAGCATTCGTGCGAAACAAGGTACAGTTTCCTTATTGCAGCTGATCAATTCTGCAGTTTAACTAGATAGGAATAGCTCGTGAAGAAGTTCATCCCGTAACCTTGGCCATTTCCCCTTATCCGAGACATGAATAGATATAGCTATTCGTGAATAAATTGAAGAATCTAAGCATTCAGGCTCTGAATTTCTTTCATGAGGACGGCATAAAAGCAGTTCTTGAACAGTTAATGACGTTTGCAATCTTTTCCTTACATGTCAACCAACCAAGCTAAAAGGACAATTTAACGAGCCATTGAGGTGAAGTGAAGAAAGAGCCCATGCTGCATTCTGGAGTGGAGTGCCCATTTGTGTGCCTGATTCTGACATTTACCATTGAACAACTGAATTTTACGATATATTTATGTTTTGTCAGGTAAATTGAAGGCGCTGGATGATAAATGGATCCAGGTTATATTTGAACCTCCTCAACTGAAGATTGGATCATTGGGGTTTCAGTATGGTGGTGAGAGCGAGGTTAAGCTACAGATAACCTACATCGATGAGAAAATAAGGCTAGGGAAGGGATCCAGAGGCTCGCTTTTCGTCTTTGTAAGAAAGTGATAGCTCAGCTCAAAAGACATTTCTCGTCGTCGTCGTCGAGGAAAGATGGATCATCTACCCTGTTGTGCTCTTGCAACCCTTCAGTCCTCTCTGGAGTTCCATTGCTTTCATTGAGAGAATTTGGGCACCTATATATGGTGACAACTTTTTATCTGGAAATGCAGTGCTTGTAAATTTTTTAAATACAGCGAGCTTGACGTTGCGTCTAAATTCCCTACGTGTTGTACTAGTGAATGATTGACTTATTATTACTTCCAATTTTTTTGACAACAGGTTGCTCAGGGTTGTGGTTTTTTTTTTTAAATTTATCACTGCTCAATTACTGGTTCATGAAGTCCTGTGTCATGCTTTCAGGACCCGTTTGGTTGCTGAAGAGGGCTTGGGAAAGCCTGCCAAAACTGACAAAAACTGTCAGTTTTGACAGGCTTTCTACCCATCTCAACGCCTCTTTAACGCAACCAAACGGGCCCTCAGTGTTTTCAGTTTTCTTGGGTACACCTCGGTTCTATTACGGTCGTATGATATCCAAATTCAATACATCGTTCAAGTTCAGGTATTGTTCTTATATTTAATTTTTTCGAATAAGTGAAGTGGATAAATCTCCATGAGAAATAAAACTTCGCTTGTCGTTATTGACAGGAGTCATCTCTTGGATTCATTTGGGGCGTGCCCTAGACGACCTAATTCCTAATTTGTGGAGCTAAGGAAATTTTGGTGTCATCAGGCCAATTGCTAGAGATATGAATGATGAGCGACATTAAATTGCTAAATAATTGAAAATAAAATAAACATTTTCACGGGTCTGTTTGTTGTTTCGTAACAGGGAGAAGTTATTAATCAATGGCTAATCAAGCTCCACAAATTGCAAGACTCTATTTGCCTTTTTTTTTATAAAGAAAAATACAGTATAAAAAAACAAAAAACAAAGATAGCACATCATCATCTTTAAAGAATTAACTTTTCAGAAAGAAAACATTTATCGTGATCCATATATATATAGATCCAACAACATCTGGCAAAAAAGTACTCGACCTCACAGAAAACAAGCTGAAATTATCAGATCTAAAAAAGCCCTGAATAAATGAAAAGCAACAAAAAAGCCTCAACTCTCCCACTCAAACCCCGCCGTCAGAGATCAAAAATTTTCACTCACCAGCCTCTCCGGTGAACGTAAGGGAGAGGAGTGCGGACACTCCGCAATGCTGCTTTACTCGAACAAGAAAAAGCCTAATTAATTTAGGACAAATTTTCAATTTCGATCTATTTAGAACATTTATTGCACAAATCGACCCTTTTTGTATTTATTTTTCAAATTCGACTCAGTTTCAGCCACCTGGTTGAAACCGAGTCGAATTTGAAAAAAAAAAAACTTACAGACGTCACGGGACTTCAAGTCCCGTGAAGTTTTGTTACATAATAAAACTACATACATGGGACTTGAAGTCCCATGAAGTTTGTAAGTTTTTTTTCCTCTCCAAATTCGACCCAGTTTCAGTCACGTGGCTGAACCTGGATCGAATTTGAAAAATAAGTATAAAAAGAGGTCGATTTTTGCAATTAAGTTTGCAAATAGGTGGAAGTTGAAAATTTATCCTTAAATTTAGCCCAATTATTCGTTATTAGGCGTGCGACTCACGTGCTCAGAATTAGTCACCCAAGCCCAAAGATAAAAAGGCCGATGTCTGTGTAAAGCTCATCGGCCTCTCTCTCGCTCTCCCCTCTCTCTCTCTCTCTCTCTGAGATAATCCATGGGAATCTGCTGTCAAGCCCAAGCCCAACTGCCGATGCCATGGATGAAGAAGAAGAAGAAGAAGAATGAGGGTACAATTACAAACCGAACTAACTTGTGTCGACGTTCCATTAATTTTCTCACAATTATGCGGGTTTCCTTAATTTTTAATTTTTACGTGGGCAGCCTTAAGATCAAGCGAACACCCTGTTGTGCAGTCCATCGTGAGTCCCCAGCTCCTTCAACATCTCAACCCATAATTAATTTTGGAGAATTCATTAATCATTGATGTCGTCAAACGAATAAAATTTTGATAGAAGAATCAGAGGATACCCGATTAACGTTAGGGTTCTCACGCCATGTTTTGCTTTTTCATTTTCATTTTTTATTTTAATGCTTATAAAGTTGGTCTCGGTTGCTTAAAATGCCCCTGAACAAATAATTATCATCAGCTAAAATAAGGCCAATTAAGCAGTACAATTCCAACCTTGCAACTCAAACAGATGAAATGCAACTTCACGCCTCATGCTATTTGTATACAATGATATATATATATATATATATCTTGCCATTGAACATGAACAAAACAAGATCTATAGAATTTACTTCTGATCAATGAATCTAATTTTTTTGTGACGAGAGAGCGATTCCTATTCGTGTTCTTACGGTTGGCAAGAAGAGATCTAAAGGGATCCAACTCGTTGTCGATGAATACAAGGAGAAGATAAACTATTACTGCAGCATGGAGGATGTTCTTATAAGATCCAATCCAAAAAATACCAGGTATATATGTAGGTCATATTTTGATCTGTAGATAATCAACAGCCTACTTAACTGCTAACTAGGATACTCATGCTGGATGCCGTATTATCGTTAAAGTCACTTCTTGGGTGACACTTACTTCATATTTTTTAGTATCTAGAATGGTGTGTGCATTTGCAGTTAATTCGACGCACAGACAGCTGATCTGGTTAACTTTTAGATTACATAACTCATGCTCATGTTTCGTGGTTTTTTGGGTATCTTGTTGGATTCATGTAACCAAATTGATATCCATGTCATGAATCTTTAAAATGGCGAGGGCATCCCATGTTACGCACAAGCAAGTTTGTTTTCTCTATACTCTTATATTTAAGGGTAGTGACTGATAACTACACTGCAAGTTTACAATACATTATGCACTATGCTAACACGGCGCTGCTGACTGTACATAATTTATTGCCTTTTTTGGAAAGTAAAAATGCCAACAATTAAAAAACCTACTATATATAGTATCATATTAATTGCCTAAAAAGCCTCTTCATCTTCTAGTGCATCTGTCTAATTCGCTCCATGTTCTTCCGGAAACACGTCCAAGTTCTAATTGTTAATATTGAAAAATAAAGATCACATTCGAATTCTGTCTTTAGCATTAAAGAAGAACAAGAGAAGTATCTAATGCAGTTTTGTTCATAACACATAGCAAATATGCTAAAAAATCTGAAATTTGGTGACTACTCGGCCCCGGAACCATTGAATCGAACCGTTCCAGCATGGTCCTTTGAAATTAGCCCTTACGCACTACTACCTCGCCTCGCGCTCATGGGTTTGAGAGAGAGATAGTGGAACAAAAGAGGAAAAGAATGGGAGGATGGATAAGTATTTTTAGAAACAAAAGAGGAAAATAACCAGAAGATGAACAAGTATTTTCAGAGTACTTTTCATCATAAAAGACAATTAAGAGTAATTACTGATAGCTAAAGGCAGTGAATACATCTCAGCGGGGCCAACTCTGCACCACATAAGCGTAGTGTAGATTGTAGTATAAATTTGTAGTGTAGTTATCATTTTCCCATATTTAAACATGGTTTTTGTCCACCTATCACTGCCACTCTTATCTATCCCTTGAAGTTATACTGCTACCTCGAAGCCAACTAAAAAAATAAGATTACGTGTTGATGTTCTGGGCAGCAATGTGAAGGCTCAGATTGAAGCAGAAGATATTAGTGTCATAAAGCAACTCAGGCCTGATGATTGGGTATGGCCTCAAAACATTCTCATTGTTGCATTTATACAAGTTATTTGAGTCACATAGAAGAGTAATTTTATGTGTATTGCATGTTTCCTTTTGCATCTTTTCTGAGAAGAATGACTGCATAACTCTTTCTTTCTTTAGTTTTACAATGGCGATCCTTTTATTGGTATCAAAGTTTCTATAATTTTTTTCCCTAGCACCAGTACAAAAAGGAGGTCATGGTAATCTACATACGGGACTGAAGACTTGGATGAAGTCCATATAATTTCACTGAGGCGCTCTATGATCTTTAACAAGTCTCCTAGTTTAATCCACCAATAATAAATATTTATTGAAGTTAATTCAAAAAATCCTAGTTATAATTGGTTCCTAGGGTTTTGTGAAGTCCAATGGCCATCACAGTCAATTTTGCCAACTCATGTGCCACTCATGTCCCATTCTGTATAGAACTCAGCTGCAAGTTGGAGCTCTTGTTCTCTATAGCTTTTCGAGACAAAAGTCTGTAATCTTTCATTTCTCTTCTTTATCGTGCATCCATATATATAGTGAAAAAAATTTAGTTTTCTCACCTCAAATGCTTCTTCGCTTTACAGATCACTTGTAGTTTGGATTCATTCTATTGTCTGAAATATGAATCATAAGTTTGACCTGCACATATACATATCAAGAACGTGCACAAGCGAAAGATGCATGCATGTGTGTGCACGCATGCACACAATTAAGATAATGAAGTGGGTTATGAATTCTATGCACAATATTGAGTAATTGAGATAAATGAGCAGGTTATGAATCCATGCATATTATAAACATTAAACTATGGGTAAAATAGTCGGAAGATGAATAACAATTTTTTGGTCAATATGAGATTCCAGAATTTTTGTACCACAGTAATAAATTTTATTGCATCCATCTTGCTGGCAAAGTTAAGCATTGTTGCATTATGCACAACCATTGACCTGCATGACTTTCTTGGGAAATTTTCTTTTCATCCATCCTGACATGTCTAGGCCGACTCATTTTCAGTGCAATCAGATTAAAGTGTTTGTTATTTATTTTTGCCAACTGCAATTTTCTGTATTTCTTTATAAATTTGTAATTATTTTTGGTCTTGCTGTTAGGTGCTAGTCTTGGATGAGCATGGAGCAGATATCACGTCTGAGCAACTGGCTAGTTTGATAGAAGATGCGGCAATAACAGTATGACATTTAATCTTTGTTCACTCCTTGTTTTTTCACAAGATATAAGACAATATCGAAACTATTTTATCACACCTACACAAAGAAGAAGAAATGATTTGATCTGCACACTCATAAAGAGACATGCATAACACATTTGTGTCATTACTGAATTGGTAAGCTTGGGGAAACTAGAGCTACTCTTTGAGAGTACTCCAATGACTGGCATTTACTTGTCGGATGAATTGCTTGACTACTACATATTTTTGGAGAGAACTTGTCATGTTCATTGTTATTCAAATTTCTTGCAGGGTTCATCTAGACTTTCATTTTGCATTGGTGGTCCATACGGTCATGGGTCACAAGTACGTTCACGTGCAAATCTGACGATTAGATTGTCCTCGATGGTTTTGAATCACCAAATTGCATTAATAGTCTTGTTGGAGCAAATATATAGGTAAATCATATATGTCGTATTGTCTAATTCATCATATATTTTATGTTTTATGTTCACGGAAGCATATGAACCAACAATTCTAACGAGATCAAATGATTATATCAATTCTAACAAATGCATAAAAGATTCTTTATCTTAAGTTATTATCAAAACCATGCTCAAAGAGTTTCATTGAAGTGCTTTCCATGTTTATTCTGGTATAGTGCTTCCACTGTTTACAGATGATTAATAAAATGTTCTGCATGGGCTTTTCAGAGCATGGACTATACTCAAAGGGCAGAAATATCATCACTAGCACAACCATCAGTTGCAGAAGATGCTGAAGGATCCTTGCAGTGTTAAGCCCTGCTTTTTCAGGTGATGTATTTTTGTAGATGATGAATTTGAAGGACTTTTGGAATCTGAAGCTCAACCTGTTTAATCTGTTATTGATTTTTGATTTACTAGTTGGCTTTGATTAAAGCATGTATGCCCTTAAGTTTATTTACAACTAAATCGTAAATTTTCATGTATCTAGCATAAGATGTTCACCATCTACTAAAAGGATTGAACAAGTGATATATAAAATGTATAATATTATGTCAGCTATCCTTTTGCCAACAAAAAATGTTTAAGATTATGTCGGCTGATATTTAATAACAATCTCTCTATGTCGTCTAATACAGCTTTTGTATGATATTTATATTAAGACTGTTATTACTAAGCTGATAAACTGATAGAACTATCAATGCTGGTGCATCTAATTTATTCTGTCAACGTAATGTTTTATTCGTATTTTCAGTTTTCTTCATCCCCCACCCATTTTTCTCTTCTTAGCATATTCCTCCATTTCTTCAATCAAATGGCTCAAATCTTCATAAGATGCTCCCCCTTTCTCCATCACTGCTCTCGCCTTCGCTTGATACTCTTTGGCTCTCATCCTCATTTCTAAACTCTGTTGCTCTCCTCCCATCAACAATTCAACCGATTTCCTCACAATCTCCTCATCAACAACATCACCCACCGCTCTCAACACCTTCACTCCAATCTCCAACACCTCGACCACCATCTTCTCATTGATGAACTGCTCCGACTGCAGCGGCCATGCTGCCATTGGCAACCCTGCACTAACTCCTTCCAATATTGAGTTCCATCCACAATGTGTCATGAATCCTCCAACTGAAGGGTGCCTCAATATCATCGCCTGTGGGGCCCATCCTCTCAGAACTAACCCTTTGCTTTCTCCCATTTCCATCCTTGCCTCAAATCCAGATGGCAACACTATGTCATCAATCCTCAAGACCCATATAAAAGGATGACCAGAAGCCTCCAACCCCCTTGCCATCTCATTTATCTGATAAGCCGAAACAGTGCATTCACTGCCAAAACAAACGTATATGACGCTATCAGGATCTTTGGAGTCTAGCCATTTTTTTATCTTCTCTACTTGTTGATTGTCTCCAAAACCAACTGGCCCAACGCACCACAGCTTTCTCGTAGCTCTAAGGAAATCGACATACAACGGCTCCAGTTCGTAGAAGCTATTCATAATTGTGCCATAGCTCTTCATCTCAGCATCTCGAAACATGTCAAATACAAAAGGGTGGTCAAAAACGACAGGCAATTCACCCTTCACCATTTCAATCCTGTGACCGACACCATGCACTTGAAATGGCATCAAACCGTTGATACCAAGATGTGGCTTGTGCTCGTGGATTTGATTGCAAATAACATTGCAGAAAGCACTGCAGGTCTGAAATGTGAGCCTAGGTATGCCTAGAGACTGTGCGAGGTCAGCAGTCCAAGAGTAGACCCAGTCGGAAATCAAGAAGTCGGGTTGGTGTTGTTGGAGGAGATCGGTAAAGGGTTTTCGAAGAAGTTCGATGGCTTTGAAGAGGTTAGAGATGTGAGAGGAATTGGGGTTTGAGTTGGGAAGGGAGGCAGTGTTTTCGCAGTTAACCGGGAGATTGGTTTCTGAGGTTGGAGGGAAAGGGAGGAGGAGGAGGTTGACGGAGGAGGGGAGGTGGAGGAGAGTGGAGTTAGCGGGAGTGGTGATGATGGTGGAGTTGATGCCACGGTCGGAGAAGAGGCGGGCGAGATTGGCCATAGGGAGAATGTGGCCGGTGGCTAGGAAGGGGAAGAAGAAGACTTTGAGCTTGTGATTTTTAGATGAAGCCATGCAGGATTGGTTGATTGTTTGTCTTCATGTTGGATTGACTTATAACAAGATGATGTGTTCATGCGAATTCTGCTCTTTAATTAGATGCCCAATGGGATAAGCAAATTGGCGTTATTTGCGGAAAACGCATAGATTGTGATCATTGGGATGTAAGTTTGTTGGGTTGGAAACAAAATATGGAAAATGTCTCATCTATAGCTGCATGACCCTCTTATATACATGTATGTTAGTCAATTAAAGAGGCTGAGCTTTAATCCTTTTTTGTCAACTACATCAGGCGTGTTGACAAAGTGATTTCAGGTGGATTAGGAGGTCGCTGTCAAGTCATTTTCAAATCATCTCTTTTGTCTTCTCCATTTCTTTCAACATTTGTGGCTGCCGCAGAAAATTTGTGGAAGGGGAGAGGTCATTGTCTTTTATGTCACTTTCTCCTTGTGGTCCCCCTCAATAAATCAATCACTCTTCACTGATTGATTTTTCAATCTCTGAGTGAATTAAAAGCTAGAGACAGAGAGTGCAAGGGGAGGCAGAGAGACAGAGTGAAAGCCACACAACGAAAGAAAGTGAGTTCTCAAATATTGTACGAGTGTTGTAATTTGAGAAAGAAATATAGTGAAACACCCTCTTGCCGTGGACGTAGATCAATTTGATCGAACCACGTAAATATTGTGTTTGTGATTGTCTCTCTATTCTCTGGTTTAGTAGGTGATTTTCCCAACAGGTTTGTTATTTTTCAAGTACAAATTTTGTGGCATCTTTTTGTACTTTGATGCTTAACTAAAATTGTAATCAGCTATAGCTGCTCGAAAGTCTCTATTTGAAGAAATCTCTTACTACAAGATTATACCTGAAGCAGCGGCTATACACACTAAATATGAAAGAAGGTACACCCATTCAGGAACACCTTGATGAATTTAATAAAATTGTCATGGATATGAAAAACCTGGATCTTAAGCTTGATGATGAAGACCAGGCTCTCATTGTGTTGTGTTCCTTACCTGACTCTTATGAAAACTTTGTTAACTCTATGTTGTATGGAAGAGAATCCATAAGTCTTGAGGATGTGAAGGCCTCTTTGAATTCTGCTGAGTTGAGAACAAAGTTGAATGGGAGAGGTACCGATAGGCAGGCTGACGGTCTGCTAGCCAGAAGTAGATCGAAGACCAGAGAGGGCGATAAAGGGCAATCCAGAAATCGTTCGAAGTCCAGATCAGCCCAAAACAAGAAACATGTGGAGTGTTTCTACTGTCACAAGAAAGTGCATTACAAGTCAGAATGTTATGCTCTAAAGAAGAAAGACAACCAGCGTGGTGAAACCTCAGATTCAGCTAATACGGCAAAGGCTGATACTGCCGTTGTTGCTGAGACGGTTCTTACAGTATGTCCCTTGGATGACCGTTCCGATAGAGAATGGATCTTGGATACATGTGCGTCTTTTCATATGTGTCCAAATAAAAATTGGTTCACTACTGTGCGTCTTTTCATATGTGTCCAAATAAAAATTGGTTCACTACTTACAGATCTATAAGTGGTGGATCAGTTTTGATGGGCAACAATACAGTTTGCAAGACAGTTGGCATTGGTACAGTTCGCATCCGGTATCACGATGGGATAGTGAGAACTTTGTCAGATGTGAGACACATCCCGGACTTAAAGAAAAATCTGATTTCTTTGAGTTCTTTGGATTCTATTGGGTGTTCTTACACTGGTGAAGGTGGAGTTCTTAGAGTTACTAAGGGTTCATTGGTTGTGATGAAAAGTAGTAAGGTGAACAGTCTTTATGTTCTCCAAGGCAGTACGGTGACAGGCTCTGCAGGTGTGTCTTCTGATGCTGATAGGGACACTACTCAGTTGTGGCACATGCGCTTAGGCCACATGAGTGAGAAGGGGATGCCTATTTTGAGTAAACGTGGCTTACTCTGTGGTGACCATACATCATCATTGGATTTCTGTGAGCATTGTGTGTTTAGGAAGCAAACTCGGGTTAGCTTCTCAACTGGCTCACATACAACGAAGGGCACTCTCGACTACATCCATTCAGATTTGTGGGGATCTGCTCAGGTTCCATCTAAAGGTGGTGCTCTTTATTTTCTGACATTTATTGATGATTTTTCCAGGAAAGTTTGGGTTTATTTTCTCAGGCGCAAAAGCGAGGTGTTCGAAACTTTCAAGAAGTGGAAAGTACTTGTTGAGAATCAAACTGGAAAGAAGATTAAACGTCTCCGAACAGATAATGGCTTAGAGTTTTGCAGTGGTGAGTTCAATCAGTTCTGCTCAAATTCTGGGATCGTACGACATCGCACGGTCAGGCACACTCCTCAGCAAAACGGGGTGGCAGAACGCATGAATAGAACGTTGATGGAGAGAGCTAGGTGTATGCTCTCAAACTCTGGCTTGGATAAAGGCTTTTGGGCTGAAGCTGTTAACACAGCTTGTTACTTGGTGAACCGGTCTCCTTCTATCGTCATTGAACACAAGACTCCAAATGAGGTATGGTCAGGTAAACCAAATGACTATTCAAATTTAAAGGTATTTGGATGTCCCGCTTACTATCATGTTAGAGGGTAAGCTTGAGCCTAGAGCTAAGAAATGCATATTTATTGGTTATGCTGATGGCGTTAAAGGCTATCGTTTGTGGAGTCTTGAACCTGATTCTCCTAAATTCATTATTAGTAGAGATGTTACTTTTAATGAAAGATATATGCTTGATCATGGGAAGGTTTCTGTTGAGTCTACAGGAAATATAGAGAAGAAGAGACGTCTCAAAAGTCGTCTATAAAATTTGCTCCTACAGCTGTAGAAGAGCAACATGATTCAGGCTCAGATGCTGATGATGCTGAGACTGAAGAACCTTATTCCATAGCCACTGGCAGAGAGAGGAGACAGATCAAACCTCCTCAAAGATATGCACATGCTGAATTAGTGACGTATGCTCTCACGACAGCTGAAGAGATGAGTATCTAAGAGCCATCAAACTTTACTGAAGCTGTCTCATGCGGAGAATCTGGACGTTGGGCCACAGCTATGACAGAAGAACTCGAGTCACTCTACAAGAATCAGACTTGGGATTTGGTGCAACTACCTAAGGGTAAAAGGGCAATTGGATGCAAGTGGATTTTCAAGAAGAAAGAAGGGATCCCAGGGGTTGAAGATGCTAGATTCAAAGCACGGTTGGTGGCTAAGGGTTATAGACAAAAGGAGGGAATTGACTATGATGAAGTGTTCTCTCCGGTTGTAAAGCATACCTCCATCCGTGTATTGCTTGCCATGGTTGCTCTATTTGATCTGGAGCTTGAGCAGCTTGATGTGAAGACTGCATTTTTACATGGCGAACTTGAGGAGACTATCTACATGTCTCAGCCAGAGGGATACTTCGTAGAAGGTAAAGAAGATCAAGTTTGCAGATTGAAGAAATCTTTGTACGGCCTGAAGCAATCTCCCAGACAGTGGTGCAAGAGGTTTGATAATTTTATGCTTAGTCATGGGTACTCAAGAAGTACTTATGATAGTTGTGTGTACTACATGCATCTAGGAGATGATTCTTTTATTTATCTTCTATTATATGTCGATGACATGCTTATTGCTGCTAAGAACATGTCGCAGATTATTATTTTGAAGAAACAACTCAGTTATGAGTTTGAGATGAAAGATCTTGGTGCAGCAAAGAAGATCTTAGGTATGGAGATCAGGAGGGACAGGAAAGCTGGAACTTTATATCTCTCACAGAAGAGTTATATTGAAAAGGTGCTTGAACGCTTTGGGATGAAGAAGGCCAAGCCCGTTACGACTCCTTTAGCTCCTCACTTTAGGCTCTCGGTTTCAGATTCACCTACAAGTGAGAACGAGAAGAAGGAGATGTCCCGAGTTCCATACTCCAATGCAGTGGGTAGCATAATGTATGCTATGATTTGCACTCGTCCAGACATTGCCCAGGCAGTCAGTGTAGTGAGCAGATACATGGCTTAACCAGGGAAGGCACATTGAGAGGCAGTGAAGTGGATCCTTCGGTATCTCAGGGGTACCTCAGATTTGGGTTTAGTTTTTGATAGCAGTACTTTGGGAACCTCAGTTGTAGGTTTTGTGGATTCTGACTATGCAGGTGATCTCGATAAAAGGAGATCTTTGACTGGTTATCTTTTTACTCTTTCTGGCTCAGCTATTAGTTGGAGATCAACTCTACAGTCGACAGTTGCTTTGTCTACTACAGAGGCAGAATACATGGCAGCAGCAGAAGCGGTAAAAGAGGCCATTTGGTTGAGAAATCTCGTGAGGGAGCTTGGACTTCAGCAGAAGGCTAGTTCAGTTGTATTTTGCGACAATCAGAGCGCAATACATCTAAGCAAAAACTCAGCACATCATGAGAGGACAAAGCATATTGATGTCAGATATCATTTCATTCGTGAGGCAACTGCTGAAAGAAACATCACGATGAAGAAGATTGGTACTGCAGACAACCCAGCTGACATGTTGACCAAACCGATCCCGACCTTCAAGTTCAAGCACTGCTTGAATTTGGGAGGCATTCGCAGTTGTTAGCTAGCCCCGTTTGGGGCATTGTTTGCAAGAGGGGGTCGAGTTTCACTTGTTCTATTATGAAGTGTACTCTCAGTTTGATTGGTGTCGGCTCAGTTTTGGGAAAAACTTCACCGAGGTGGAGATTGTTAGTCAATTAAAGAGGCTGAGCTTTAATCCTTTTTTGTCAACTACATCAGGCGTGTTGACAAAGTGATTTCAGGTGGATTAGGAGGTCGCTGTCAAGTCATTTTCAAATCATCTCTTTTGTCTTCTCCATTTCTTTCAACATTTGTGGCTGCCGCAGAAAATTTGTGGAATGGGAGAGGTCATTGTCTTTTATGTCACTTTCTCCTTGTGGTCCCCCTCAATAAATCAATCACTCTTCACTGATTGATTTTTCAATCTCTGAGTGAATTAAAAGCTAAGAGACAGAGAGTGCAAGGGGAGGCAGAGAGAGATAGAGTGAAAGCCACACAACGAAAGAAAGTGAGTTCTCAAATATTGTACGAGTGTTGTAATTTGAGAAAGAAATATAGTGAAACACCCTCTTGCCGTGGACGTAGATCAATTTGATCGAACCACGTAAATATTGTGTTTGTGATTGTCTATCTATTCTCTGGTTTAGTGGGTGATTTTCCCAACATGTATAGATAGGATCACTGAATGCTCGTGAGAGAAAAAAATAGTTGAACATGTGATATTGGTTCTGATTCTGATTTGTTGTAGTAAATTACGATTATATTGGATTGTAGCTCCATATGGCTCTAAGGCTTTACATATATCCATTAATACATGCCAGCTGTTTCCCTAAGGAAGTCTAACCTTTATGATTGAAGTTTTCTTTGGAACTTCTACCATTTAAACATTGAGATTGCTTTATGCTGTTTAGCGGATTTAATTCTGTTGATATCTAAAAGCTCTTCTTTCAGGTGAAACTTGTGACCTGAAATCTCTTCAAAGTGATGGGAGGATTTTTTTTTTTTTTTTTTTTTTTTTTTTTTTTTTTTTTTTTTTACTTTTGGAGTTTGAGAACACAATTCAGGAGGCAGAATTGCAGAAATGAGAGATGATGGGGAGATCGCGTGCATAAAAAATCACTCTTTCATATATTATGTTGTTCTCAAAACAAAGAGATGTTAACAATAATGATCATCCAAAATTGACAAAGGATTGTAGCGAGAATCACATGAGAGTATGTGGACATTTGTGAGGGAAGGAAATAGGAAAATTCCTATAATTGTTTTAATTGCACTTGGGAAGTGATTGCATCAATGTAGATCTGTTGCATACCTTGGGATGCTTTTCTTTCTTTCTTTCTTTCTTTCTTTCTTTCTTTGTGAAGTGACGAAACAGACTGATTTGTCTCTTAAAAATGGAATAAATATTTTAATTCCCGTAATTCCTCTTTTTTCTCCCTTTTTAGGACTAGGGAAATCCTTCCAGTGATGTTCGTTTGGGGACAATATTTGGAAAAGATGAAATATATGTCAAATAAGGAAAAAGAACCTTTCAGCACTGCAATAATTCTCCATATGAAGCAATGAATTATAGGGCATCTGTTCATGCATCCCAACAAGGATTCCGTTTGGTAACTTTGATCAAATATAATACATAGCATTCACTATATATTTTTTATAATAATTAATAATTACTACCTGGACATTCACAATTTGTTTTAATGTGGAAATGAAAGCTCACCTCTCTCTCTTTTAACTATTTGACAGAGAATTAGAAACATGACTGACCTGATATTCAGTCTTCTTGGTTTAGGACACACGATGGCTTCGGTCCTCCTCGAGCATCTTTCCATCATGATAGCAGTTCTCAACTTTCCAAGTTCATTCATTTCATCCATCAAACTCTTTCCATGAATACTGTCTCCTACTTCAAACAATTTGTAAAAAATTTATCAGGAAAAAGAGTACAAAAGAAAAGGTAAATATATAAATTACCATGAACTTAAGGTTTGTTGCACTTTGAGCTAACAGAATCCAGGTATCCCTAAAATATTGTCTGTTGGAAATTTCTTACATGAAAAGTTACGCTAAAACAAACTTGGAACCGATACAATGCAAGTATTACACAAAAACATTAAAAAAAAACAGAGGAAATTGTGAAGGGATTGTAAGATAAATTACTTGTAAGGACTAACAATGTCACAAGATAAAGGCACACCGTAAAAATTGCGAAAGGAGCTTTCTTCCCTTATATAAGGATGGCGTGAGGGATCCTTTCAATATCAAGAAACAATCTACATTACTAGTCCTTTGCAACTTTTGTCACACTTCGGGCCGACGAGCATGTTGGCCTAATTTAAACCCTAGGACCAACTGAGTGCAGCATGTTGTTTGACTCAAACCGCCATGAAAAATGGCTAGCCATTGTTGCAACCGGACTCTCATGACTTACTATTTAAACACATTATACACACACATATGTATGGATATATATATAGTTATATACACATATGTATGTACATAATGTACATATATATGTGTATATATATCTATATACATATGTACATAGATACACATACACATTTATCCAATACGGAGCTATCACAATATTACCATTGGTCCATCACGTTATGACTATGATTCTAAGGGTGACTCCTACAAGCTTTAGAGAGGACTCCCACTGCACTCATGCCAAGCAACAAGAAAACAGTTAGTTCCTCCTCATGTTGCTATTGCATTTACTACATCACTGAGTTGGAACAACGATGTTAAAAGTGAAGACTAGTGGTTTCTTCTAACTAACTACTTTCTCTTCTTATCATTTACTTTTCTTGATGGACCTAGAAGAATTTGGTTGGAAACAGTTAAAAAGATATGATAACAGTTAACCTAACATAGGAAACAACCCTAAATAGAATGGAAAAGAAGAAAAGAATTCATGTAGCATACCCCAAACATCTAGAATAAAGACTTTGTTGTTCTTGCATCGTCATTGTTGTATCATTTACCATTTTTGTATTTTTCTAATTTTAAGTATTTAACACCTATGCAAAAAAAGAGAAATGAAAAAACCGCTTAGGCGGCGTGTAGGCTCCTGCCTAAGCATCCAGGCATTGGGTGCTAGGTCCAACACTAAGTACCCAACACTTTACGGGTAAACAACTTAGTTGTAAGTTTATTTGGAAGAAAAAAACTATTTTCTAACATATATTATCATATATCTCATTTTCATATGCATATATTCATGCATCTAAGCTTCTTTGTGAGAATGCATTGCAAGCATGTATGTGTATCAACTAAAAAACACTTATGACAAAATTGGCTAAAGAAAGTTGATATTGGCTAAAGAAAGTTGATATTTTTCCTTGTCTAAACAGAGTGCTACTTTGAGCTCAAAGATTAATGCATTATTTTCATTTTCCTATTTGTTCTTAGCCACCTAAACAAGTTCAAGAGTCACTAGGATGATACTAATCATTGTTTTAAATATCGGTGTTAGATTAAGTCTATTGGGTATTGGGTTAATGGGCTGTGACCCGTTAACCATACCCCTATTTGTATGACTATATATATATATATATCTCTAGTATCTGAATAAATCAATGAAGTTAGGGTTTTTGCTCTCTCAATTATCTCTTTCTACATGGTATCAGAGCTTGAAACCCTAGCCGTCACAAACCCTCATTCAAAAAACCTAGCCGCCGCCGCCGCCTTTTCTCCTTGCCGCCGGCACTACCGCCACCACTAGCCGTGCCGCTACAGTACCCGCGCCGCTACAGTACTACCACTATTGTGCAACAATGTCGGAAACAGATCTCTCCTCTTCTACATCTCCCTCTGCTGCTGCTGGTCAGACTTCTGCGCCCAAGGTAGTCTTGGGGACTACAATAAAATTGAATGGTACAAACTATCTACTCTGGGCTCAGGCTTTCCGCATCTTCATTGGCGCTCAGAGCAAACTTCCACATCTTCTGGCCTCTCCTCCACCCACCACAGATCCCACCTACAGTTCCTGGCTCTCGTCTGATTATTGTGTTATGACGTGGCTCCTCAACAGCACGGAACCACAGATTAGTAGCAGTGTTATGTTCTTAACCACTGCGAAGGAGATGTGGGACAACCTGAAGATTATGTACGGAAATGAGAAGAATGCTTCCCGTGTATTTGAGATTTATGAGCGACTGTTTACGCTCAAACAGGGAGATAGGTCAGTTCCGGAGTTCTTTGGTGAGTTAAAGGGACTGATAGACGAACTGGAGATGCATCAGCCTACAGTAGCTGATGCAGCGACGTTGTTGGGATATCGCCGTGACTTGGCAGTGTCCAAGTTTCTTTCTGGATTACACCCTAACTTGCAGTCCCAGGTGAGAGGACAGATATTAAGTGGAGATACCATCCCCTCACTGACTGCTACATTCTTCAGAGTCATGCAAGTCTCTACTGGTGTTTCTTCTGATACTTCTGCACCGTCTCCACCTTCAGTGGATCAGTCTGTCATGTTCTCTAGTAGAGGCAGAGGCCGCGGTCGTGATTCTTTGGGAGGACGTGGCTCTTTTAGTGGGAGACATGGTGATTCTGATAGGGGTTCACGTCAGTGTGGTCATTGTGGGAGGACCAATCATATTTCTGAGAAATACTGGGAAAAGTTTGGTCGTCCTCAATGGGCCCAAGTAGCCGATGCCGAGTCGACTCGCTCACCTATTTCTACTATTATTTCTAGTAATCCAGGTACTACTGTTCCTACTGTTCAGATTTCTCAGGCAGATTATGAGAGGTTACGCCAGCTAGAGATCTCTTAGAACAGTCATTCGGCTACTCATGCATCCTCTTCAGGTATGGATGCTTACATAGCTTCTCCTCATGAACCATGGGTACTAGATTCTGGAGCCTCATCCCATATGACAGGTATAAAGGATCGTTTTGTCTCTTTACATCTTTCTGATAAGCTTCCCTCTATTCGCATCGCTGATGGTACACTTTCTCCAGTTCTTGGTGCTGGAGTAGTTCATGCTACTTCCTCTTTGAAACTCACTGATGTGTTATATGCTCCTAAATTCCCTGTTAGCTTATTATCCATTAGCAAGTTTACAAAGCACAATAACTGTAAAGTCACATTCTTTCCTTCTTATTGTGTTTTTCAGGACCTAGCAACTGGGATGACGATTGGTTCGGGGCATGAGAGAGGAGGTATGTACTATTTGGACGACAGTGTGCCGGGTGCTGGTCTTGTTGCAGCACAGCCTGATTCTACCTTACTGTGGCACTGGCGTCTGGGTCATCCTTCACTACAGAAACTTAGATCGGTAGTTACTGTTCAGTCTTCCCTTTCTTCTTTAGGTTGTGAGTCATGTGAACTGGGTAAGCACCATCGTGCTTCTTTTCAGAGTCGTGTCGATAAACGCAGTAGTTTTGCGTTTGAGTTAGTTCATTCTGATGTCTGGGGTCCTTGTCGTGTTCCCTCTGTGAAGGGTTTTCGATATTTCATTGTTTTTGTTGATGATTTCTCTCGCATGACTTGGCTATATTTGTTGAAAGAGAGGTCTGAAGTCCAGCATGTTATTGAATTTTTTTATAATGAAATAAAAACCCAGTTCTCTACTTCTGTTCATATTCTTCGTACTGATAATGCTTTGGAATATATGAAAAATGACGTTTCAAAATTTTGTGCTCTTAATGGTATTATTCATCAAACTTCATGCTCTCACACTTCACAACAAAATGGAGTTGCTGAGAGGAAGCATAGACATATTCTCGATGTTGCTAGAACACTGATGATACATATGAATATTCCAAAGTACTTGTGGTCGGATGCTGTCCTCACTGCCTGTTATTTGATTAATCGCATGCCTTCCTCTGTTCTTGATGGTTTGATACCATTCCACTATCTTTATCCTGCTAAAAAACGTTTTTCTGTGATTCCTCGAGTTTTTGGTTGTACGTGTTTTGTTCAGGATTTGACTGCTGGTTTGGATAAATTGTCTCCTAGGTCCATTAAGTGTGTGTTTGTTGGATACTCACGTACTCAAAAAGGGTATAGGTGCTATCATCCGACCATCAGGAGATATTTTGTTTCTGCTGATGTTACCTTTTTTTAGTCTGTCCCATATTTTTCCTCTGGTTCCACTACCTCTGTTAGTCTACAGGTGCCACTACCTTCTACGGCTCCCACTACTATTCCGGTATCTGCTCCTAAGGCTACTGCACCAAAGCCTCTACTGACACACTCTCGCCGTCCTAAAGTACATACACCTGTCTCTGCTCCTGCTGACTCTTCTTCTCCAGCTGCAGGTCCATCTCATGTCGAGCCTCATATCTCTTCTAACTTAGATGTTCCTATTGCTCTTCGTAAAGGTAAACGGTCTTGCCCAAAATATCCTATCTCTCTTATTGTCTCTTATGACCGTCTCACCTCATCATTTCGTCAGTTTGCTTTGTCATTGTCCACTATATCTTTACCCAGGTCACATGAGGAAGCTTTGTTAGTACCCGCCTGGAAACAGGCTATGGATGAGGAGATGAATGCACTGCTTTCTAGAGGGACTTGGGATTTGGTCTCTCTACCTGCTGGAGCGACTGTGGTTGGCTGCAGATGGGTGTATACCTTGAAATATCGTCCTGATGGGTCTGTTGATAGATATAAAGCTCGCCTGGTTGCTAAAGGATATACCCAGACATATGGTATTGACTATTTTGAAACCTTTTCTCCCGTTGCTCGTCTCAACTCCATCAGAATTCTTTTCTCTCTGGCTGTTAATATGGATTGGGCGATGCACCAACTAGATGTGAAGAATGCTTTCCTTTATGGTGATTTGGACGAGGAGGTTTATATGGAGCAACCTCCTGGGTATGTTGCTCAGGGGGAGAATCTTATCTGCAGGCTGAGAAAGGCCATCTATGGGTTAAAGCAGAGTCCTCGAGCTTGGTTTGATAAGTTCAGCAAGGTTATTTCTAATGTTGGTTTTCAACGTTGTCAGTCTGATCACTCTGTCTTTCTTCGACGCACAACAACTGGTTTGGTTATTTTAGCCGTATATGTTGATGATATTCTGCTGACTGGGAGTGACTCTGTTGCCTTAGCTGAGACTAAGGAGTATCTAAACCGTCATTTTGTCACTAAGAACATGGGAAAGCCAAAGTATTTTCTTGGGATTGAAGTTGCATATAAAAAACATGGTCTGTTGTTGTCTCAAAGGAAGTATGTGCTAGATTTACTAGAAATATAAAAAACATGGTCTGTTGTTGTCTCAAAGGAAGTATGTGCTAGATTTACTAGAAGAAGCAGGTCTATTGGACTGCAAACATGCAAGCACTCCAATGGAGGCAAATGTTGATTTGTGGCGTGATGATACCTTTCTACTAGATGATGCTGCACGATATAGGAGACTAATTGGGAAGCTAATATATTTAACAGTTACCAGACCTGATATTACTTTTGCAGTAGGTGTGCTGAGTAGATTTATGCACAAACCTAGAGAGGTTCATTGGACAGCAGCTCTGAAGATTTTGGCATATGTCAAAAGTTGTCCTGGCAAGGGATTGTTATATAAGAAGCATGGGCATACTCACATTTCGGCTTTCTCTGATGCTGGCTACGCAGGAGACATGGGAGACCGAAAGTCAACCTCAGGATTTTGTACTTTTGTTGGAGGTAATCTTGTGACTTGGAGAAGTAAGAAACAAGATGTAGTATCACGATCTAGTGCAGAGGCCGAATATAGAGCAATGGCTCACACTGCTTGTGAGATGGTGTGGCTAAGAAAGTTTATGACAGAGCTTGGTTTTGTTCAGTCTGGACCCATGCCAATGCATTGTGACAACCAATCTGTCATTTATATTGCACAGAATCCTGTGTTTCATGAGAGGACAAAACATATTAAAGTTGACTGCAATTTTGTCAGAGATGCTTGGGAGAAGAAGATAGTATCTCTCACATTCACTCCGTCCTCACAACAACTTGCTGATATTCTTACCAAGACTACTTCTTCAAAGGTGTTTTCTACTATATGTGACAAGCTGGGCATGGTGGATATTTATGCTCCAGCTTGAGGGGGAGTGTTAGATTAAGTCTATTGGGTATTGGGTTAATGGGCTGTGACCCGTTAACCATACCCCTATTTGTATGACTATATATATATCTCTCTAGTATCTGAATAAATCAATGAAGTTAGGGTTTTTGCTCTCTCAATTATCTCTTTCTACAATCGGCTTACCTGGCTGATATATTGGCTAATGTCCTTTTATATGGCTTTTTGCAAAATGATAAGGTTTCCTATCCTTCACGGCTTTACCGCTTTTGGCAAATTTTTTGGATATATCAAGATTCCTTGATATAAGAGTAGGTGACATTTCGACCTAAAAAATAGGTTAAAATGTTGCAAAACTGATTTGAGCTTTTATTTTTTTTAAGAAACAGAGTTTGTATTTATGACTCAATTGAGGTCCACAATCCAAACATATACTTGCTTGTACAAATACCCTGATAGAACAATTAAAAGTCAATTAAGACCAATTCTTTTTGCAAAAAAAATTGTGGCTTTTATGGTTCTTGACAAATTGCCTTGAGGTGGACAGTGTTACGGCACCGCCCCAACCATGCATTCATTATCGAGTAATTACAGGCAGGAAGTTTCTATCTTCCTAAATCTCTCATCATTTATACCTTCTCTCATTTTCATCATTGATGCTATGTAAGCGTTGGCTCAAAAGATGTCGAAGAGGCATAGCTTTGCATTCTATACAAAATAGGTTTAGATATAACAGCACCCAGTTAAAAGTTTTAGAATATTTTTTTGATAATTTCAGACATTGATAAAAGATATTCGTCTTTCTCTAAGGTTTCATCCATAAACATCTATGATATAATGACACGCGCACACACACACAAACACATTATCCGATTACAAAACATCTCTTATATATCCCGATATCCGCCATCTCGTCTGGAAATTTTCTTTCCAACATGTTCCTAACATCTGACATTTAGAACACAATACTAATATAGTTATTCCATGCAGCTAATTAAAATTCTATAAATGCATCTGATCGGTGAAAGTGGCAAATTTTGTTTAATATGGCATATATCCATTAGGAAACTATGCCGCGTTGCTGACAGAAAGAATTGCAACCCTACACAATTGACAGTATTTGAACCTACCAAACCTAACTACACTCAACCTATATGCGGATATAAATTTTTTTCTTGCAGGTTACGGAGCTAATTTAGTTGCGGAAGACTTCTGTTCTCTAAATATTATTCTATTTGGGTTGTTCGCATGGCGTACATACATAATAGACCTGTGAGGGGCTTTTGTGGCAGTAGATATTCGGGTTTGTTTTGTTATGAAAATAGAGGAATTACGTTGAAGCATAAGAATATAGATGAGTAACTCTTTTGTTGCCTAAGGTCAGATTCAGATCAAATTCGATTAAAACTTCGGCCTGCTAAGTTTCGTTTACGAACGATAGAGTGCCTCTGCTAGCATAGCACAGGTTTATGTTCACCTTTATGTTAACTCTTATGAAAAAATTATCTACAGGTTTAGTGCTGGTGGAAAACTAATCGTCAAGAATGATTACAGATTCACTTATGCACTCTAATCCGGTGCTACTCTTCCACAATCCCATACCCACCTGAAAGAAAAATGAACAATGAAAATGCTACATGGATTGATTTACGATGTTTTTATATTTCTGGAGGTAATCACATTTTCAATTAAACATGTCACTTCTCTATAGCTTCTCTCCTCCCACTGGATCCTTGTGAATGTGGTTAATTGACCTCCAAGAGCGATGCAGAGACTCGTGTAAAGAAATCGACAAGATATCATAGTACCATTTCTGTCACTACCTCCCTCAAGAATCCTCAAACATGTATCCAAAAAAACCCGTCTTTCATAGAAGACAATGGTGGGGGAAAAAGAAGAAGAAGGGAAAAGAGGCATAAACACAAACCTAACACAGAGCAAAGTGATTTGATCTTCGCCAAGATCACAACAAAGATTGCCACATTCCAATTAAAGCAATTGACGAATAACCAAAAGTTTTTAACTTGGAAAGAGTAAATGAAGACCTGATAATTGATCCATCATCCTCTTCAGCTGCTCCATTTGCGAACAAGAGTTTCAAACTCACCATACGATGCTCTCAGCAGCCTCACTACATAGGGGGAAAAAATGCCAGTTTTGAAATGGTCGACTCATTTTTACACTACTAATATCAAAAGGAAAACAAAAAGGGAATAAAAGTAACCAACTTTACGAAAGAAAAAGAAGAAAGGTCACCAAATTCGAAAGTTAGATGATCAAAAACAACGGATCAAGCAGTATTGACTGTTGTCGTTACACAAAGTAATTGAACAAAGCAAATCAAATTGTCGGGCTAAGCTCCAACTGCTGCAAATTCTTTTAAGGTAATTAATTAATTAGTTAATTAATTAAAAAAGAGAGAGAGATCCATGACAGCAGAGACTAAGTCGAAAAATGCCAAAACAAAAGATTGATCAAAGAGTCACCTGAATCATGAGATCGCTGAGAGCTTCAACAAGAAATTGAAAAACAGAGAACTCAATCTCTCCTCGTCCCTCCAATCCACCGTTAGCCAGAGAGCTATTCAAATTTGGGCATTCGTACTCCTCAACCTATGAATAAAATTACAAAAGTGACCCTGAGAATTAAATTTGGGAGATTGGGATCTAGCAAAAGCGGCAGAGCTAACGGGTATCTGGATTACTTCCAACGTCGTCTTAAATAAACACGGGGAATTAATAAAGTTAAATACAAACTAATTTGACGAATAGAAGCTTCTAAAAAAATTAATGTTTTTCTTTGAAAAGATCGGACGGTGGATAGAGACGGATCTGTTGAGTCACAAAATTACATATCAAATTCTTAAAACTTTTGAAATTTTCTTAAAATTTTTACGTTCACAGCCTTGACAACGTGTAGGGGCGTTGCTTAACTAAGAATCAAGATTATAAGTAGGGTTTAAAAAGGAGTTCAGAGAAAATAATTAATTTTTGGTTTATGAGTTTTTCTTCAATTATCCGCTGATTTCAAACATAAGCAAATCCTGAACGGTAACATTCATCAACACATTAAACAGCATACATTACTGGGAGTCCTAAATACCCAATTTCAGCACAAACCCTTGAAAGTTTCAGCAGCCCTTTTCACCCTCTTTGCCTTCTTTGTTCCTCCTCCTCTTTTGGTTGGTCATCAACTTTATGCGCTGCTCTCAGGATCACAGAAACTCTCAGCCACGAGGTCAAGGGCTCCATTGTTGTCGTGGGACTCGCCTTTGTGAACCACACCAGGCATCGGTGGAGCTGGTAGGATTCCTGCTCTGATGAGGATGCGTTTCACCGGCTCTGATGGTTGTGCACCCACAGATAACCAATACCTGAATGTTCCGACGTCGATGAGAAAAGGTCTATAGAAGAATAGTTGTGATACAATTTAGATGTCTATTCAGAGTGATGTGTCGTCGGTCACTTGAAGAATGCTGAATTGTTCAGTATCTTTATGTTTCAGCATAGACATTCGACTGAACTATGTACGTCAAAGCAACAAATTGATCAGTTTCAGTCATGACAAAGGAATAAAACCAACAGAACTTAAGTTGCGCATTAGTTCAATTAAAGAATATGTTTTATCGTGCTACTGTCTATTTTCTCCATTCTTTCAATTTAAACAAGTCATCCTAGATATCATTGTTAGGACTCAGGCAAAAGCAGCATATTGTGTGAAACATTAAACTGCAATTGAAAATCATTGGGTGAAGAATCAAGAGAGACAGAGACGCAGAATCTAGTTTCACTCCTTCACTTTCTATTATTTTTATCATTACAACCGGTGTAATATCTTCTTGTTTCAACATATCTGTTGCACCCTAAAAATCACATGTTTTATAAACCCTTAAGAACTGGCCACGTATTAGTCAAGCGGGTCAGATCATATGATCGGAGACCCCATCCAT